GGGTGATACAAACTGATTGTAGCTGTGTTGGACCAGAGTCTGACCTCATTAGCAAATAATTCTCATGCTCCACTCCATAAATGCTGGGGAGTCTTGGTTGGTTAACCCTCGTGATGTGTAATTCTTTTTATACATTGTTGGATTCCATTTGCTAATGTTTTGGTGGGGCTTTTTACTTTTATGTTGGAGATACTGAGCTATAGTTTTCTTTTCCTGTAATGTCTGTCTGGTTTTAGTATTAGGGTAGTGTTGGCCTCATAGAATGAGTTAGGAAGTACTCTTCTGCTTCTGTATTCTGGAAGAAATCATAGAGAATTGGTATAATTTCTTCCTCAAAAATTTGGTAGAATTCACCAGTGAATTCAGCTGGCCTGGGTGTTTTGTTTCAGAAGGTTCCTTTTGTTTACTGATTGAATTTCTTTAATAGATGTTGGCCTATTCATGTTATCTATTTCTTGTGTGAATTTTGGCGATTATTTCTTTCTAGGAATAGGTCCATTTTACCTAGGTTATCAAATCTGTGGTCATAGGGTTGTTCATAACCTTTGTTATCTTTTTCATGTCTGTGGGATCTATAGTGATGTCTCCTCTTTCATTTCTGATACTAGAAATCTGTGTCTTTTTTTTCTTAGGCTTCATGAGCTAGAGGCTCATCAATTTTATGATCTTTTCAAAGACCCAGCTTTTGGTTTCATTGATTTTTCTTACTGATTCCTGTTTTCAATTTCATTGATTTCTGCTCTTTTATTATTTTTCTTTTTATGCTTGCTTTAGATTTAATTTGCTCTTCTTTTCTAGTTTCCTAAGGTGGAAGCTTAGATTACTGATTTTAGATCTTTCTTCTTTTTATGCATTCAGTGTGGATAAACTTCCCTCTAAGCACTGCATTTGCTACATCTCACACATTTTCAGAAGTTGTATTTTTCATTTTCAGTTAGTTCAGTATATTTTTTAAATTTCTCTTGAGATTTCTCCTTTGGCAATGTGTTTAATCTCCAGATATGTTGGGCTTTTCCTGTTATAGTCTGGAACAGACAGTGTATGATTTCTGTCCTTTGAATTTGTTAAGGTGTGGTTTATGGCCTCAGATGTGGTCTGTTTCGCCATGTGAGCTTGAAAAGAATGTGTGATCTGCTACTGTTATGGAGTAGTCTATAGATGTCATTTATATCTGGTTGGTTGATGGTGCTTTTGAGTTCAGCTGTGTCTTTCCTAATTTTCTGCCTGTTAGATCTGTCCATTTCTGATAGAGGAGTGTTAAAATATTAGATTAATTTATTTTTTTCTTGCAGTTCCATCAGTTTTTGCCTCACTTATTTTGATTCTCTGTTGTTAGGCACATATATATGAAGGCTTATTGTGTCATCTTAGAGTATTGACCCATGTATCTTGGAGTAGTGATTTATTTGTCCCTCAGTGATACCCCTCTTCATCCCTGGTAACTTTCCTTGCCTTGAGGTCTGCTCTGTTGGAAATTAATATAGCTACTACCTCTTTCTTTCCCTCCTTCCCACCCTGCCTTTCTGTCTCTCTCTCTCTCTCTCTTTCTTTCTTTTTTAAATTGTTCCTTCTATTGTTTGTTAGAAAATGTAGATGATAAGTTTTTTTTTTAAATCCTGTCTGCCCAGTTACTAGCTGTATTGCTTTGGGCATGTCATTTGAATATTCTTAGTTTCTTCAACTGGAAATGGCATCTACTAGCAGGTGCACGGGTGTCAAGAAATACATGTAAATTGCCTTGTGTGATACTGTTTCCTTTCTTCCTATTAGTGTTAGCATGGTTATCTTTCTCCATCCCTTTACTTTTTTTTTTTTTTTTTTTAAAGATTGATTGATTTGAGAGAGAGTCCGGGGCGGGGTGGGGGAGGGGCAGAGGGAGAGAGTCTTAAGCACACTCTGTGCTGAGCCTGACGTGGGGCTCGATCTCACAACCCCGAGGTCACGACCTGAGCTGAAACCAAGAGTCAGATGCTTAACTTACTGTGCCACCCAGGTCCCCCTCCATCCCTTTACTTTAATCCTTAATGTGTCTTTACATTTAAAGTTTCTTGTAGACAGCATATAGTTGGGTCTTATTTTCTGATTCACTCTGACGATCTTTTATTTGGTGTATTTAGATCATTGACATTTGAGGTGACTATTGATATAAGTGGATTAATTTCTACTGTATTTGTTACAGTTTTCTATTTGTTGCCCTTGTTCTTTGTTCCTATTTTTGTCTTCCATGCTTTTTCTGCCATTGTGGGTTTTTTGTTTTTTTTTTTTTCTTTTTTAAGAGAGAGAGCACGCACATGAGCAGGGGTGGGAAGGGGCAGAGGGGGAGAGAGAGAATCTTAAGCAGGTGCCATGCCCAGCCCAAAGCAGGGCTCAGTCACAATCCTGAGATCATCACCTGAGCCAAAATCAAGAGTCAGGCACTTAACCAACTGAGCCACCCACATGCCTCTCTGCCATTGTAGTTTTAACTGAGCATTTTATATGATTCCATTTTCTCTTTCTCCTTAGCATATCAATTATTCTTTTCTTTTTTTTAGTGGTTGTCCTAGAGCTTACAGTACATATTTACAACTAATTTTAGTCCACTTTCAGATAACACTTCATGGGTACTATGAGTACATCATAATAACAAAATATTACTAATTCTTCCCTCCCATCCCTTGTATCATTATTGGTGTTCGTTTCACTTATGTATAAACATAGACATGTATATATATATATATATATATATATATATACATATATATATATATATATATATACACACACACACATAAACATACATGAATGAGTATATCATTGCTATTATTTTGAATAAACTATTAGATCAGTTAAGAAAAAGAAACATAAAGGTTTTAATTTTACATTCACTTACTCATTTTCTGATGCTCTTTGTTTCTGTAGATCCGGATTTCTGACCAATATGATTTTCCTTCTCTCTTAAGATCTTTTTCAGCATTTCTTGCAAGATAGATTTAATGGTGACAAATACCATCAATTTTTCTTTGAGAAAGCCTTTATTTCTCCTTCACTTTGGAGAATTGTAGGGTTCAGAATTTTAGGTTGGTGGGTTTTTTTCTCTTAACGTTTAAATATTTCACTCCACTTTCTTCCTGCTTGCATGGTTTCTGAGAAGTTAGGTGTAATTCTTATCTTTTCTCCTCTGTAGGTAAGATGTTTTTCTCCACTGACTTTTTTCACAACTTTTTTATCTTCGCTATTTCAGATTTCTGAAGTATGGATATGATATGCCTGTGTATAGTTTTTGGCATTTATTCTGCTTGATGTCCTCTGAGCTTCCTGGATCTGTGACTTGGTGTCAGACATTAATTTGGGGAAACTCTCAGGCATGATTGCTTCAAATCTTGCTTCTGTTTTGCTCCTGCTCCCAGTTGTCCCATTGCATGTGTGTTGGGTCTTTGGCACTTGGCCCACAGTTCTTGGATATTCTGTTCTTTTCCCCCAGTCTTTGTTCTCCTTGCCTTTCAGCTTTGGTAGTTTCTGTTGCCAGATCCTCAAGCTCAGCAGTTCTTTCCTCAGCCATGTCCAGTCTACTGATGAACCCACCAGAGCATCATCCTTCATTTCTGCCAGTGTTTCTGATCTCTAGCATTTCTTTTTGATTCTTAGAATTTACATTATCATCTAATTTTTTTTTAAATAGAGTGAGGGAGAGGGAGAGAGAGAATCTTAAGCAAGCTCCATGGCCAGCGAGGAGCCCAAGGCAGGACTTGATCTCACAACCATGAGATCATGACCTGAGCCAAAATCAAGAGTTGGATGCTTAATCAACTGAGCCACCCAGGCGCCCCCATTATCATCTCTTGTGTGCTCTGTTTTTTCCATTAAATTCTTAGTGTATTAATTATAGTTTTTAAAAAATTTCCTGGTCAGGAGGTGCCTGGGTGGCTCAGTTGTTAAGCGTCTACCTTCCGCTCAGGTCATGATCCCAGGGTCCTGGGATCGAGCCCCGCGTCGGGCTTCCTGCTCAGCAGGAAGCCTGCTTCTCCCTCTCCCACTTTCCCCTGCTTGTGTTCCCTCTCTTGCTGTCTCTCTTTCTGTCAAATAAATAAAATCTTAAAAAAAAAAAAAAATACACAAAATTCCTGTTCTGGTAATTCCAACATTCCTGCCATATCTGCCTCTGATTCTGATGCTTATTCAGTCTCTTCAGACTGTTTTTGGCCTTTGAGTATGCCTTATAATTTTTGTTGTAAGGTGGACATGATGTAGGTGAAAGGAACAGCCAGCAGTAAGTAGGCTTTTAGTAATATGATGGTAAGTTGTGGAGGAGGGGGATTGTTCTGTAATCCTGTGGTAGTTTCTCAGTCTTTTGGTGAGGTTTGGCCCCTAGACTGTGAACCGTACATGTTTCTCAGTTCCCTCCACCTCCTTAGGTGGGACAGGATGGCCAGAATGGGCTCAGTTGGTTATTTCTTTTCCCTCAAATAGTTTAACTCTGCTAATATAGGAATTTCTCCAAGATCAAGCCTTGTTACGATGAGAATGTTCTGATATATTTCAAAATGGTTTCTTTCCTCCTCCTTGTGCTAGAAGCACGAAGGGATTTTCTCCAGTACTCGCTGTGAGGGCCTAGAACGGCTCCTTAGAGGTAGAACTCAACAAAGTGGAGGGGTGCCCCCTTATGACTGTGTCCCCCTAGAGTTATTGTCACTCAGAGCTGTCCACATGAGCCTCAAGCAGCTCATCAGTCCCAGTTCAGGGTTTCCTCTCCTGGCACTGAGCTTTGTGCTCCTGTCACTTCTGGTTATGGGAAGGGTTGTTGATTTTTCAGCTTGCTTTTTACTCATTAGGATGAAGTGGTGACTTCTAAGTTTATGTCAAACTGGAAACCAGAAGTCACAAGTTAATTTTTCATGTTCTGCCACTTGAGGTTTTAGGTTCCAGACTTTACTTGTTGCTTGTTTTGGGAAATTTTGCTGTTTAGAATTGGCTTTCCAGAATGTTTTTGCTTTCTTAATACACTTTTTTGCTGTATATAGGTGGCACAGGAGTGGATCAGCTCTCCAAACAAAGAGAAATTCTATCAGTTGCATTTACGAAAATTTCCTGCTGATTATAAAAAATACTGGGAGTTTGTGGGTAAGTTCTTTCTTCTGTAATTTGGAATATATAATAATTGGAAATTTCTGTTTGAGGAAAGCTTATCATCATTTGACTTTTCTGGGACATAGGTTTCCTAAGCTGAATTTGTAACTTCTTACAAGGAATGTTTAAAGTTTTTTTTTTTTTAAAGATTTTATTTATTTGACAGAGAGAGATACAGCGAGAGAGGGAACACAAGCAGTGGGAGTGGGAGAGGGAGAAGCAGGCTTCCCGCGGAGCAGGGAGCCCGATGCGGGGCTCGATCCCAGGACCCTGGGATCATGACCCGAGCCGAAGGCAGACGCTTAACGACTGGGCCACCCAGGCGCCGCAAGGAATGTTTAAAGTCTTTTAATGAGAACAGTTACTGGGACAGTTATGAATATAAAATTCATGGTTGTAACCATTCTATAATTAGAATACCACAGGCCAAAGTGGAAGCTGGGCATGGAAGAGAGGGTGAGTGAAGGGAGCTTGACAAGATTGGTTGGGGGAAGGTATCCCAAAATCATAGTGTTTATAGATTCTGAGTAAATGTTGCTGCTGTCTGTCTTCTCATTTCATCATTGGTCTGAAACACATACCACACTTATGCATTAGTTATAAATCAACCAAACATTCAGAACTCTTTAATAAAAATAAAAAGTATAAATCCTCTTTTGCCTCCCCCCCCACCCTCTGTCCATCCTACTCCATAGATTCAATTAAGATAAAAAGCATGTGTATGTATATTTTTGGGGAAAGGTACTATATGTTCATTGTAGGGCACCGAAATAATAATAGCCAACAGAAAGAAATACCACCAATTCCGATCATTCCAAGATAGTCCTATGAAAATACTAGTATATATCTTACTGCGAGACTGCTCACCTGTGTGAGTTGGGTACATGTGAATGTAGTAGGGTCATTCAACTATGTAGTGACATTTTTCATTCATTCAGCAAACACTGACTTTATAGTGCCTGATAGGGTCTGATTCTAGATGCCGGGTATATAGCTGTGAAGAAACATAAGATTCCTGCCTTCATGAAATTTGTATTTTACTTAATTTTATTTAATATACTGTAAATGTTTTTTCAGAGTTACTAAATAACAGTATATTTCTTTTTTCTTTTTTTAAATAATTTATTTGAGAGAGAAAGAATGAGACAGAGCATGAGAAGGGGGAGGGTCAGAGGGAGAAGCAGACTCCCCGCCGAGCAGGGAGCCTGATGCGGGACTCGATCCCAGGACTCCAGGATCATGACCCGAGCCGAAGGCAATCGCTTAACCAACTGAGCCACCCAGGCGCCCAATAACAGTATATTTAATATTTATAGTTATTCCATTGTAAATATATTCCACAGATCTACTTAACCAGTCGTGTCTAGTTAGACATGTACATCGTTTATAGTTTTTAACTGTTGCAAACACTCAGTGTAAACTTTGCTAGGTCAAACAGCATGTGTATTTTTAGACTTGTTCCATATTGCCTCTGCCTACCAAAAGGAATATCAGTTTCACTTCTAACATGAAGATATAAGAATGTACATCTCCCTCATTTGCTAGCTTCAATTTTGTTTTCCAGTTTTATGTATGTAAAGTGTATCTCATCTGAGGTTGTAGCTTTGTTCCCAAATCTTTTCTGATAATGAATATTCTTTTTTTTTTTTTAAAGATTTTATTTATTTGAGAGAGAGAATGAGATAGAGCACGAGAGGGGAGAGGCTCAGAGGGAGAAGCAGACTCCCTGCCGAGCAGGGAGCCCGATGCGGGACTCGATCCCGGGACTCCAGGATCATGACCTGAGCTGAAGGCAGTCGCTTAACCAACTGAGCCACCCAGGCGCCCGATAATGAGTATTCTTAGTGAGGTTCCAGAATGTGGGGATAATGGTTCATGCCCTTTGCCCCTCCTCCTCCTTCTTCCTTTTTCTTTTTCTTTCTTTTTTTTTTTTTTTTTAAAGATTTTATTTATTTATTTGAGAGAGAATGAGAGAGAGCACATGAGAGGGGGGAGGGGCAGAGGGAGAAGCAGACTCCCTGCCGAGCAGGGAGCCCGATGCGGGACTCGATCCAGGGACTCCAGGATCATGACCTGAGCCGAAGGCAGTCGCTTAACCAACTGAGCCACCCAGGCGCCCTCTTTTTTTTTTTTTTTAAGATTTTATTTATTTTGAGAGAGAGCACAAGAGCAAGGGGAAGGGCAGAGGGAGAGGAAGAGGGAGAGAAGCAGACTCCCCTCTCTGCAGGGCTCCATCCCATGACCCTGAGATCAGGACCTGATCACTCAACCAACTGAGCCACCCAGGCGCCCCCCCCCCCCCCCGCCCCCATTAGGGACATTGTTTTCTTCTTAATGTGTGTGCTTTGTTGTAAATTGCTTTTGGCAGTTTGTTACTCAGTTTCACATGCAGGTTTTGAGGCACAGACAATTTCTACAGATGTTCAAAACTATTATACTTATTTCTTTATGGTTCTGACTTTGGTCTTTTTTTGTTTTTAAGATTTTTAGAATTTATTTTTGTGAGAGAGAAAGAGAGGAGAGCAGGAGAGCGCACCTGAGCATGAGGGGTGGGGGGCTGGGGCAGAGGGAGAAGCAGGCTCCCCATTGAGCAGGGAACCCGATGCGGGCTTGATCCTAGGGTCCTGGGATTGAGCCCCACATCGGGCTCCCTGCTCCTTGGGAAGCCTGCTTCTCCCTCTCCCACTCACCCTGCTTGTGTTCCCTCTCTGTCTCTCTCGCTGTCTCTCTCTCTGTCTGTCAAATAAATAAATAAAATCTTTAGGGAAAAAAAAGTAGATACTTTCATAATTTCTTGTAGTTTTATATTTCTTTTAGATATTTAAATCACAAATTTATCTGGCATTAACTTGATCATATGTTGGAATTACATAGTATTTACTCTTTATCTGGCTTCTTTCATTTAACATGTATGAAAAATTCATCAATTTTGTGTGTCATCATTATAGTAGTATTTCCTTATGTGAACATGTCCTGATTTAACTGTGTGATTTTTGTTTTGTTTTTATGATTTTACTGTTGACATTTTTATTTTCAGTAGTTTTGGCCTGTGTGTCGGGTCCCAAGGTTCAGTGATTCACTAGGACAGCTTATAGGAATTAACATATACTCATACTCATGGTTGTGACTGTTAAGAGGCTACAAAGCAGAATCAGCAAGGGGGGAGAAGCACATGGGGTGAAGTGTGGACGACACCAGGAGCAAGCCTGAGTCCTCTCCCAGTAGAGTTACATGCAGTGTACTTAAGTTCCCAGTAAGGAATTGTCACAGTGCACGGCATGCAGAATGTTACCTACTAGGGAAGCGTGTTAAGAGATTCAGTGCCCCAAACACCCTCTGCCTAGCCTAAACTCCTGACTTCCAGAAGTAAAGCAGGTGTTTGGTATAGACCATATTTTTGCAAATGGTTTAGGCACAGCGAGTCTGATGAGTCAGCAAATGATAATCCCGAGATCCAGGATCCCACATGCCAAAGGCCACCCTTGTAAGCAGACCTTTCTAAAGATAGCAGCCTCTGGCGTGCTCTGTTAAATCTGACACAGAATTTCATGAACAGTGCCACCCTGACGTTCCTGTGTTGGTGAGAGGGCATTTTTGTTGAGTCCTATCCAGAGGAGGATTATGGAGTCTCTGGGTATGTGTATGTTCAAGCTGACTAGGTAATGCGCAGCCTGTTGTTCAGCATTAAACTCCACCAACAGTGTACGAGAAGTCACATTGTTCCCGGTCTCCACCAACACATTTGTATTGATTGTCATGTTAGTTTTAGCCATTATGCCATGTTTGTCTTGCTGGCCTTTTGTGGTTTTATTTTGTCATATCCTTGTTATCAGTGAAGTTGAGCACCTTTTTATATATTTAGTAGATGGTTCAGTAATCTCTTTTGGGAAGTGCCTATTCAAAGTTACTGTTAATTTTCTGTTACCTTTTTCTTATTGATTTGTAGGAGTTCCTTATATAATCTGGATACATGCCATTCTCTCAGTTTGGCTTACATTTTGACTCTCACTGATGTCTTTAAAAAGCTTTATTTTATTAAGAATTTCTTATTTTTATTATTTATTTATTTAAGTACTCTACACCCAACATGGGGCTCAGACCCACGACCCCAAGATCAAGAGTTGCATGCTTCCCTGCCAAGCCAGCCAGGCACCCCTAGAACTTATTTTTAACATAGCAAATGCATCTTTTTTTTTTTTTTTACTAACAACCCTGAGGTCAAGACCTAAGCTGAGATCTGTAGTTGGACACTAAACCGACTGAGCCCACCCAGGCGCCCCTATTTTTTTTTTTTTTTATGGTTGGTGTTCTATGCCTCATTTAGGAAACCTTTTCCTGCTGCAGCTCATAAATATATTAACATCTGGAACAAGTGTCAGCAAACTATGGCTTGCAGATCTACCCCATATCCTGTTTTTTGTACTACCTTAGAGTAAGGTTTTTACAATTTTTTAAAAAAATATTTATTTATTTGACAGAGAGACAGCAAGAGAGGGAACACAGACAGGGGGAGTAGGAGAGGGAGAAACAGGCTTCCCGCTGAGCAGGGAGCATCGGGCTCGATCCCAGGACCCTGGGATCATGACCTGAGCTGAAGGCAGACGCTTAATGACTGAGCCACTCAGGTGCCCCAGGTTTTTACATTTTTGAAGAATTTTTTTTAAGACTTTATTTGAGAGAGAGAGCATGCACAAGTGGGGGGAGGGGCAGAGGGAGAGAGAGAAGCAGACTCCCTGTCAAGCAGGGAGCCCGATTCGGGGCTCTATCCCAGGACCCTGGGACCATGACCTGAGCTGGAGGCAGATGCTTTAACCGACTGAGCCACCCAGGTGCCCCAAAGAACTTTGAAAAAAAGATGATGAATAAACAACAGACCCTATGTGTGGCTTGCAGAAAAAAAGTTTGGCTCTTCACAGAAAAAGTTTGTAGCCCCTTTTCTAGACAGTTCATTGTTTTGTCAACCTGGAATTTATTTTTATTTTATTTATTTATTTCTTTTTTGTGGTTTTTTGGTTTGTTTTTTTAAAGATTTTATTTATTTATTTGACAGAGACACAGCGAGAGAGGGAACACAAGCAGGGGGAGTGGGAGAGGGAGAAGCAGGCTTCCCGCCGAGCAGGGAGCCCGATGCGGGACTCCATCCTAGGACCCTGGGATCATGACCCAAGCCGAAGGCAGACGCTTAACGACTGAGCCACCCAGGCACCCTGGAATTTATTTTTATGCATGAATGGGATGTATAGGGGTCATGTTTCATTTTTTTTTTCTGAATGGAATTGTGGTTATCCCAGTATCATTTATTGAAAAGACCACCCTCTTCATGCTGCACAGTGCCATATTTGCCATAAATCTAGTGTCCATTTAACTCATGGATTTTTTTTCTGGACTCATTTCTTTATTGGGTCATTTGCCTACCCTTGTGCCCACATCACATTGTCTAATTACTTAGTCCAGCTTTATAATGAGTTTTAGTAATGACTGAACAACAGTTCCTCCTACCTTGTTTGCCTTAAGAGTGCCTTAGCTATTCTTGTCTGCTTGAGTTCCCGTATAAATTTTAGAGGAAAAAATGGGGAAATTGGGCAAGAATTGACATCTTTTTTTTTTGAGAATTGACATCTTTCTGATAATTTTCTAATTCATGAATAAGAAATACATCCAGTTATTTTGGTTTATTTTCAGTGATGTTTTAGTGTTTACGATGGAGAGGTTTTGCAGATTATCTTTGGTTTGATTTTTGCGGAGGTGGGGTGTCATTTGTAATTCAGTGAATATCTAAAAGATACAGACCTAAAATTTTATAATAAGATTACATTTTATTGCTAAAATATTAAGTTATTCCTTAATATCAGATAGCTAGTCAGTGTTCAAATTTTCAATTTCATCCTAAATAACAGTTTTTTTCAGCGAGTTTGAAATAAGGTCCAAATTAGGTGCACACATTGACACTAGTTGAAAGGTTTTTTTTAACTATAATTTTCTCATTCTGTTTTTTTTCCCCCTTGTAATTTGTTTGTTGAAAAAGTTGAGTTGTTGATCCTTTAGAATTATTGTCTATACTTGTTGATTGTGTCCCCCTGGTGTTTGTTGGTACGTTTTCCTGTCCTCTGTATTTCCTGTAAATTGATAGTTGTATCTAGAGGCATGATCTGATTCAAGTTTGATTTATTATTTTTAGCAAAACTATTTCATAGATGGTGTTATGTTCCTTTATCAGGAAGTACATGATCTCTAATTTCTCTTTTAGTAATATTTACAGCTGTGGATGCTTAATGCCTAGATTAATTTATTAAAGGTACAAAATGGTGATATTTTTACTCGATCATTTCTTCATTTATTAGCTGGAATAGTTCTATAAAGAAATTTCTCTATATTATTTGGTTACTCTCTGGTGTACTTTATAAAGAAATGTAGAAAAGTACTTGACTCTTGACCAGTTTTTAAAATAATGAGCTAATTCACCGCAGGCACTGGTGTTGACCGATGTGCTTTTTTTTTTTTAAAATTTCATAAATGCATGGACTTATATATACTTGTGTTTCTATCCATTATCATTTAAGCCCTTTAGGTAGGACCCTACAAGTCTTTGAGAGCTGACTTGCTATCTGATATGACCAATATTATCTATATTCTTTTATCCCGTATCTGAACTTGCAATTTTATAAGTAGCTTAGCATCCTGTAGAAGAAAATGGTTATTTCAAGAACAAAATGATTACAATATAATAATACACTGTATGTATGAACAAGTAATACATGTAAGCATAAGAATACAGAAAGGTTGAAAAAACAGAGGATTGGAGAAAGACACTCACGTAAACCCTACTAAAAGAAGATGTGGGGGCGCCTGGGTGGCTCAGTTGGTTAAGCGACTGCCTTCGGCTCGGGTCATGATCCTGGAGTCCCGGGATCGAGTCCCGCATCGGGCTCCCTGCTCAGCAGGGAGTCTGCTTCTCCCTCTGACCCTCCTCTCTCTCATGCTGTCTCTCATTCTCTCTCTCTCAAATAAATAAAATCTTAAAAAAAAAAAATTTTTTTAAAATAAATAAATAAATAAAAGAAGATGTGTTTAGGGTGCCTGGGTGGCTCAGTCAGTTGAGCATCCTACTCTTGATGTCGGCTCAGGTTGTGACGTCATGGTTGTGGGGTCTAGCCCTATTTCGGGTTCCGCGCTCAGCAGGTAGTCACTCACACACATGTGCATGCGCTTTTTCTCTCTCTCTCTCAAATCTTAAAAAAAAAAAAAAAAGACATGTTTAGCTCTGTTAATATCAGACTAAATAGACTGTAAGACAAAAAAACTTACATACAAAGGGAATCATAAGTTTAGTTCAGAGGAGATGACAATTCTCAATGTATATATGCCTAATAAAATATATAAAGAAAAAACTGAGGGGCGCCTGGGTGGCTCAGTCAGTTAAGCATCTGCCTTCAGCTCAGATCATGGGATTCAGCCCCTCTTTGGGCTCTCAGTTTAGCAGGGAGCCTGCTTCTCCCTCTCCCTCTACTGTTTCCCTGCCTGTGCTCTCTGGCTGTCTCTCTCTGTCAAATAAATAAATAAAATCTTTAAAAGAAAAAAAACCTGATAGAACTAGAGTATACTTTTTACACATATATGAGACTTTGAACTATTAAATTACCAAAGGTGAATTTTAAAAAGCACACCATAAAGTGAAACACAACAGAAGTAAATGAACCTAATTATATATTACATGTATTAGCTTTTGTTTTGGTTGAATACTTTTACTTTTTTTCTCATTTTAAAATTTCTTTTTACTTTTTCTTGTTAGTTTGGAAATTATCTCTCAATGTATACATCTTTTGCTGTTTTAGAACAGTTAGGTTAAAACTTAAAACATGCACCCTTGATTTATCAAAATCTATAGTTTTAGTAGCTCTTTTAAGTGTTTCCATAGATGAGGTAAAACCTTTTAAACTGTGTGAGACATAATCTGTAGCCCCCAGTGACAGTCCTCAGTTGTTTACTGATGGTACCGCTTTGTGTTTTTCTTCTCTCCTTGTGCCCTGCTTATCCCTGGTGCGTGTTGGTCAGTATCTTTGCAGTGTTATTTATAAAAATAATTTGAGGCCTAGGATGATACTATCTTCCTCCACAGAGGATTTTCCTTTGCTTCTGCCAGGCTTCTTGGGGGCACCTGCGATGTGGGATCATCTTAATCTGGTTTAAGGGATTGGCTTTTCTGGAGCACCCAGCTGTTTGGAAGCTGGGCTGTAGCCCACGTCAAGGCGGGTTTGCTTCTGCTTCATCCTTGGGTGTAGTCCTGAGTCCTTCGTAGTCCCAACCTGAAGCATATAGGGCTACCAGGGTCCCCACTCTGGACAGGCCCTGGACTCCAGTTTTTGTCTTTTTAGTCCAATAAGGCCATCCCAGGTCTGGCCTGACCTCTTGGCTGCCACTCCAAGCATAGTTGAGATGTTTCTAGGGGAAATACTGGGCTGACTCCATTGGATTTCCACATTCTTCTGGATCTCAACACAGTAACTCTTCACTGTTATAATTGCTCTGATGCCTTCACATAGATATTTCTTACCTGCCACATTTTATTTATTTTTTAAAAAAGATTTTATTTATTTTGAGAGAGAGAGAGAGTGTGCGAACTTGCTTAAGCAGGGGGGAGGGGCAGAGAGGAGAGGGAGAAGCGGACTCCACACTGAACAAGGGAGCCTGGTGTGGGGCTCTATCCCAGGACCCCGAGATCATGACCTGAGTGGAAGTCAGAAGCTTAACCGACTGAGCCACCCAGGCACTCCTAACCTGCTACATTTTAAAATCTTGTTTGGATTTAGTGGTTCTGTCTGTCTAATCCCAGTGCCTCGTATTTTAGTTCATTATATTGTTACTGGATCTGGTGGTTGGTGTGCTCAACTTTTCTGTTGTTGTGCTTGCTCTGTTTTCCCAGCCCCAGTAGTTTACAACTAGTCTTTCCCCCTTGTTTGAAATGCCACCAGTAATCGCTTCTCGGCCTTTGGCTAAGATAAAGTGTGAAATGCCACCAGTAGGCTCAAAATTCTTATATGTCCTTGGATCTGTTTTGGGGTTTTCTCCTGGGATTTTGAAACCGAGGAACAAAAGAGAAAATTTTTTGGTTAAAAACTAAAATAAGTTTTAAGGAAAGGAAGTTTACTAGCTACTTTTGAATATTACGATTTTATTTTGGCTTTTTAGCCATTGCGAAGAATACATTTTATAATACTGTATAATCCGTATTTGAGAATGTTGACTGGCTTATTAGAGTATTATTTTGAAGTATATTACAAAGTCTAGTGCTGTATACTTGCTTGAACTTAGTATAAGTGTTAATATCCTTTAAGTTAATCTCATTTAAAATAATTCTGTTAGAATCAATGCCAACTTCTTATTGTTTCATAGTTCATCTTGAGGAATGTGAACTAGCTAAACAGCTTCATCCAAAGGAAAATGATTTGGTGTTTTTGGTTCCTGAAAGACAAAATGGAGAGAAGAAAGATACAGAGAGACATCGCATGCAGGATCTCCGTGAATATCATTGCGGTTATATTCATAAGTTTCGCCGCACTTCAGTCAGTAAGTAGATAATGAGACTGTAAAGAGAAATCTGTCAGATATAAGCTCATCTTTTAATTTCCCTCTGAGTTGTGCTTTACCGGCCACATACTTGTTAAACATATTTGAGATGTGTATTTGCCAGGTTGGTTACTTGCCATCCAGAGTCCTTTTTTTAATTTTTCTAGACTCATCTGGGAAAAGCCCAGTACTTACTGCTCTAGATTTATGATTTAAAAGCTTTCTTTTGTAATGTCCTCTCTTTCTGATACATTTCTTCATCTGTCATTGTGTTTGTTATTAAACAGACAATTTGCAAACCATCTGTTTTTTGTATCTTAAAATCACAACCTTGGTGTTACGGCTAAGTATCAATGAGAAGACCAAACATATAAGTCATTGTGAGGCAACTCGAAGGTTCTGCTGTTTCCCTTGCCCCCATCCCTTGTGTCGTAGGGACCCGTCTCTTGGAAGTAGTATCGCAGAAGTAACGTCCGCTTGGATGTAATCAGTACCTGCTCTGTGCCAGGCCACGTGCCTTGTCCTTCCTGTGCTCGTTTATCATCTTCCTCAAAGCCTTGCAAAGCAGTAAGATCTATGTATTCCCTGCTCACTAGGAAATGAAGGCTCAGGGATATTCAGTACCCCTCCCAAGGTCATTCTCAGTATTAAGTGGTAGGCCCAGAATTGAAACCTACATTTGTTTGACTGCAGGGTTGCCCACATTCTTCATTGTATGCTGAGCAGCCTTTTTAACATTGCTGCTTTCTTAGCCTCAGCTATGTGACAAGAACATGAGTTCATTATTCCTTCGCCTTTTTGCATCCAGTCTTAAAAACAAAGCTCCTTGGAGTTGAGCATCATGCACTGAAACTGGTGTGCTGTATTTCTATCATAAGTGTGGTCCAGCCCAGTTCTTCCTGTAGAGTGCATTTAGGGGCGTAGCAGGAGGGGTACATAGCTTAATCTGTGCTTTTGACTCTTGCAAATGATGACATGTGCCAAATTTATATTTCTAAGGTATTCTCCTTCCAGCTCCTCAAGCATCCAACTATCTGACATCTCCATTTGCAAATATGTTAGACAAAAAGACCAAAGAAAGCGCTTGATTTTCTACCTGACATCTACTATTCCTTCTGTTTTTCCCATCTCAGCAAGGGGCCTGCCTTTTTCTAGTTACTCAGGCCCAAAACCCCAGTCATCCTTGATCCTTTCTTTGTCTCACATCCTACATGTAATTCATCAGCAAATCCTGTTGACTCTTTCTTTGCAAAGTATCCAGAATCCAAGCCCCACGTCTGCTTACTATATCCTGGTCCACACAACCATCAGCTGCAGTGGCTTCCTGGTGGCCTGTTTGCTTCTGTGCTTTTCCCATTGCTGTTTATTCTCCATCTGCAGGAAGAGCGATTCTTTTAATGTCTAAGTTTAAGCATGTCACTTCCCAGTACAAAGCTGCCCTGTGGCTTTCTACCTGACTTGGAATAAGGTTCAAAGTCAGTATTGTGGTCTGCAGAGCCCTATAAAATGGAGCCCCGTTTTCTTCTCTGAGTCTTCGCAGCACTTGTCTCCCTCCTTTTCCTTCCAGCCATACTAGGCTTGTCCTTGTTCCTGAAATACTCCAGTCACATCTTTGCTTCATGGTCTTTGCAATTGTCGATTCTTTGCCGGTAACACCCTTTCCTCAGATAAGGGCGTGGCCTACTCATTTATTTCAAGTGTCTACTAAGATACCATCTTATCAGGAAGACCTTCCCTGACTTGCCTGTGACGGTAATACAGCTCCCTCCCATCCCTCATGATTTCTTCATCCCCTTTCTCTGCTTGCTTCATGGTGCTCATCACCACCTGACGTGTTTATTTGGTTATCTGCTTCCCTTTTCTTGAAAGGAATTGCCTGGTTCTTTGGAAGCATTCAGTAAACATTTGAGTGAATTACTTGAACAATATCATACAAAAAACATAAGTTAGAAAATACATAATTCTGAATAACCTTTTTAGCTGGACAGCATTATTCCCTGGCAACTGAAATTGCTTTTTCTCCTTCTTGGTAATAGTGCGCAATGGGAAATCTGAGTGTTCCCTTTCCATCCAGACTCAAGATAATTTGCCAGTCAATTTAAATGAACTCGTGAAATGCGTTGTAATCAGTTCTCTGGTAACTACACAAAGGAAGTTGAAAGCCATGTCTTTGTTGAGTGGACGGAACCAACTGGCCAGAGCTGTTCTGAATCCAAACCCCATGGACTTCTGTACAAAAGATTTACTAACTACAACATCTGAGAGAATTGTGAGTCATGGTTAAACGGGAACGAAAAGTCCGAAAATTTCGTGTCAGAATGTGACAGCATCATGTCGTGTTTATTCATTGCACATTCCTGTATGTCTGGGACAAAGCTGTATCCCCGTGTGTGCACAGTGAGGATGTGTGGCGCTTCGTTATGTTACTCAGCTTACCTCAGGAAAAAAGTGTAGTGCAATAAAGAATTGAAAATATGCTTAAAGAGGAGCATTAAAATGTTAGATGAGCATCCTACTTAAATGCTTGTTAGGTGATTAAAATTCAGAGGTAGGAGTAGGTTAATAGAGTTAATTTTGCATTTGAAAGATCGATGGAGAATTGACAGGTAAAGTTGCCATTTTGCATGAGCATGTATGTGCTCGCTGTAAGAGCTATATATATTCATTCCAGGAGATTAATACTGAGGAAGGCAAGAGAAGAGTAACAGTGTTTGGATTGCTGCTGTGTGGGGGCTTTCTGTGCAGTATCTCATTCACTTCTCGTCCTCTCCGGAATCCCAGATTTAATGGATGACAAAGGCATAGACTCAGAGATGTTAGGAGTTTAGAGACCTGGCTTGTGAGTGAAGCTGAGGTTTAAACTTAGATCTGATCCAAAATCCGGAATGTTAGGAAAGAAAATCTTAGAACGTTTTTGTACTATCTATGGAAAGAATAAATCGAAGAAAAGTATTGAACAATTTATTGTGATCCTCTTTGTAAGAATCACAAATAAAAATGCAGTTGTTGTAGTTGTAGGTGGGCTGAAGCCTACAGACGCTCATAAATAACTTCATAGTAGTGAAATTGGTTCTGTAGATTAAAGGTCATGTTGGGGTCTTTCCTGATCATAACCAAAGCTTCTGTCTGATAAAGGTTAGAAGAAATTCAAATGGTTTTCTCTTCTTCCTCTCCTGTGCCACTCCAGGAAGAGCAACTCATTCTCACTAATGTCTTTTGCATAGATCGCCTACTTAAGAGATTTCAACGAAGACCAAAAGAAAGCGATAGAAACTGCATATGCCATGGTCAAACACTCCCCGTCAGTTGCCAAGATCTGTCTGATTCATGGACCACCTGGAACAGGAAAATCAAAAACTATTGTTGGCCTCCTGTACCGCCTCCTGACAGAGGTAGAGTATGTGAGGGTGTCCGTGCTGGGAGCCAAGCACATCACATCGTTCCACATGAGTTAACTGACATACGTAAATGACTACTACAGGTCTTCCTCCTGCACTTTTGTGTATCTTTTTGATACTGTGTGGAACTGTATCTGAGAAAGAGGTAGCAGAAGGAGACAAGGGTATAAAAAGTAAAAAGAGCAGAAAATGTCCTGTGTGACACTAAGCTGAAGGGCTAGAATGGTGGTCTTGTCACGTCTAATGCCAAGAAACTGTCTGGAATGTATTCCTGGGCTACATTTTGGTTGGATTGAGTATGGAGTAAAATAACTGGATAGTGAGGTGAGGCTCAGGGAAGCTATGATAAAATGTCCTGCTAGAGTCATTTTAATGTCAATGTAAGATGTAGTTGCTGTTACTTATTTTTAAGTATTTATAAGGGGAACTTTCAAACATACACGGAAGTAGAGAAAAACTGGAAAACTCTGTAATAGAGCTCATCAGTATTTTTTGTTTGTCTGTTTGGCGTGTGTGTGTCAAATTGTAGAACCAGAGGAAGGGGCATTCAGATGAAAACTCCAATGCCAAAATCAAACAAAACCGTGTCCTTGTGTGTGCGCCTTCCAACGCAGCTGTTGATGAACTTATGAAAAAAATCATCCTCGAATTTAAAGAAAAATGTAAAGACAAGAAGAATCCTTTGGGTATGATACTTATATGGCTTTTAATTTGTTTTTGGTTTTGTTCTGTGTTTAGTGTGGGCAGCTTTGAATGCCAAAGAATAAGCCAGTTTTGGTAATAACTTTTGCTTGGGGCTGTGGCCCATATGTACTCATCAATTCATTTAGCAAGTTTTATTGAGCATTTACTCTGTGCCAAGGCCCTGTGCTAAGTACTGAGGTTTCAACAGTGAAACCTTCCAGGAGATGATAATGAGGAAGTGGATCAGTGGGCAGTTAGAGTATAAATCTGGACATTCTGTAAGAGCAGTAAGATGTGGCTACTTTCAGACACCTTAGAGCGGCCCTCGGGTTCAGTTGTGGAGCGTTAAGGAAGGCTCCTGGGGGAAATGAGGTCTCACATGAAACCTGGAGAGTAGTTAGGAGTTAGTCGTGGGAAAGGATTGGTGGGTATGGGGAGCTCTAGCAGAGGTTACTATCAGTAACAGGGACCAGAGGCGAGAGAACCTCCGTGCAGTATATCTGGAATATCATAAGCCCCACGAAGGCGAGGGTTTAGGCATTCCGTTTGCTGCGCTCTCTCCAGTGAGATTCAGGCCATGAGGGTACGCAGGGACTGTGTTTGTTTCCTTGGGGAGGTGTGTGAGTTCTGTATTGGGTTTTGATGGTCAGGTGTACCTCATATGAAAGGTCAAGAGTTTATAAAAACACTGGTCTACCATAAGTAGACCTTGAAGTGAAAATGTTGGGTTGAAGGATTTGTGCATCTTCGGTTTTCTAGATAGCACCAAATTGTCCTCACACGTGGGTGTAGCAGTTTACACGTCCAGGAGCAGCTCCAGTGCATACGCAGTGGTGTGGTTTTAACGTGCCTTTCCCTGGCTGGCTGAGGGAAGGTGAGCACTCTCAGGCGTGTGCTGACCGTGCAGCTGGGCCGGGATCAGGACAGGGCCAGCCAGGCATCCAGGTTGGATCTTCCAATTTGTTAGAGAAAAAATGATATCTTCTGGCTGTAGAAGAGAACTTTGGTCTTTTATACTGCATTCATTGTCACTTCTTCCACTACTTGCAGCTGTCCTGGTCCTTTGTCATTAGTTTTTGTCATGAAGGGCTGTTGAATTTTATTGCATGCATTTTGTTGCATCTGTTGAAATGGTAATGAAACTTTTTTCTTTAATCTGTTAGTGGGGTAAAGTACAGTGTTTTTCTAATACTAAAATATCTTTGATTCCTAGAATAAGGCCAACTTGGTCATGTATTATTATTTTTTAACACGTTGCTAGATTGCTAATGTTTAATTTAGGATTTTAAAATTAGTACTCATGAATGAAGCCAGCCTGTGATTTTTCTTTGTCCTATCTATGTCTGGGTATCATTACACTGACTTTAAAAATGTAATTGGGGATAATTTTTTGTTAATTCTTTGGAATGTTTTATATATGACAGAGATTATCTATTCCTTGAAGATTAATTTGTTTTTAGTGTTGTTTATTGACAGATGGGTAAGTTTTAATCTGTCCGAATGTCTTAGCTGTTAATAGGTCTATTCAGGTTTCTGTATTTTAGTGAGTTTGGCTAATTTGTATTTTTTCAAGAAAAATCAACATTTCCTCTTAATTTTTAAATATATTGGTATAAAGTTGCTCATTGTATTCTCATTTTATATTTTGATTGGGTCACCTTTGTCATTCCCTGAATTATATATTTAGTCCCTAAATCCACATGTGGTATGAGCCTATGTTTTGAAAGTCCTGGAAGAGATTTTGGTTTTTCCCAGCTAAGCCCAGGCGCAGTTAGATTCATTTCCTTTTCATCCTCCCACCTCTTTCAGGCCCTCTTCCTTTCCAGTGGGTTTTATTTATTTATTTTTTAAAGATTTTATTTATTTATTTGACAGAGAGAGACACAGCGAGAGAGGGAACACAAGCAGGGGGAGTGGGAGAGGGAGAAGGAGAAGCAGACCTCCCCGCCGAGCAGGGAGCCCACTGCGGGGCGTGATCCCAGGACCCTGGGATCATGACCTGAGCCGAAGGCAGATGCTTAACGACTGAGCCATCCAGGCGCCCCATCCAGTGGGCTTTAAAATCCAAGCCTCCATTAACAAAGTTCTATGTCTTCACTGGAATGGTAGTTTTGCCAGTGTAGACATTTGTCAAACTGTACAACTAAAGATTTTGAAACATCTGCATTTTATTGAATGTTCAGTAAAAAAAAAATTCTGAGCACCTAGACAGCACCAACCCTGACTCATCCTGTTCCCCCAGGGAAGCCTCAGCACCTTGTGGGCTTTCAACTCTGGTTTTGAGCTTTCTCTTTGTTTTTGGCCCCTAGGAATTTCTCTTGCATTTCTGTGAGCTCACCCTGCAGTTTAAAGGAGTCTGTTTTATTTTATTTTATTTTATTTTATTTTATTTATTTTATTTTATTTTATTATTTTATTTTATTTTATTTATTTATTTATTTATTTATTTTTTATTTGACAGAGACAGAGATAGCGAGAGCAGGAACACAAGCAGGGGGAGTGGGAGTGGGAGAGGGAGAAGCAGGCTTCCCATCAAACAGGGAGCCTGATGTGGGGTCGATCCCAGGACCCTGGGATCATGACCTGAGCTGAAGGCAGACGCTTAACGACTGAGCCACTCAGGCGCCCAAGGAGTCTGTTTTAATTTATGGAGCATTTCTAGGTATTTATAGGAGGTGAGTCTCCAGGTAATTTCATCCACCTTTCTCGTGGAAACACAAGTAAGTTAGCAGTTTTGAAACCTTTAAGTAAATGTTGGCCAGAGAAGATGCCTTCAAAGTGAGAAGAATGAGCTGAACTAGGAAAAAAATAGGTTGTAGACAACTGCTTAGTAAGTCATCCATTCATTCAGCATACATTGATTATGCTTCGGTGCCAGCCCCTATCGTAGCCAGTGAGTACAACGAAACCCTACTCAGTGGAAGGAGATCGACAGTAAACAAATAAGTATGTGATGTGTCAGATTGTGGTAAGTGCTGATTGCTATAACTTAGCCCTAGGATGGAGTGAGAGATTTTTAGATTAAGTAATATATAAAATATGGTGACTGCAAATAAAGGTGTGGTTAACAGCCAGCCACTTAAATGACATTTACACTGTTTGCAGTTATCTACTTCACAGTTTCAGCACCTTGTGTTCCTTAGATTCTGGAGTAGCAGCATGATATGGAGTAGAGTTTCAAAAACTTTGTTGTGAATATTCCACGAAAGGATTTGATAGTAAAATATGATTCTGTCTTGGAAATTCAAATATGTATTAATATATGAAAGTCTTTACATATCTGATATATCCTGTGGTTAAGAAATCTATCTTATTTCAACTCACCTTTTCCAAATGTATTTTACTATGGAATGTTGTACAGAACATAGTTTGAGGAGTGTTGGTATAATTGAATCTCAACTTTGTAATTTCCTGTTTATGCAGCCTCTGTAGCTTTTATTAGGTAGAAATGGTCAGTACTCACCCTGCAGGGTGGTTGTGAAGAATATCTAATGTGTATGAATCCTCTAGTGTAGCTTCAGGTGTGGAGTTGATTGATAGTTAATGTTGGCTCCCTTCCCTGATTGTTAGTATGCTCGCTTAGAAATAGGTACTATGTGCAGAGATTGGCAGTGTCCTTATTAATCTCTAAGTATGATTTTTTTATCAACAGGGAACTGTGGAGATATAAATTTAGTACGTCTCGGTCCAGAAAAGTCTATTAATAATGAGGTCCTAAAATTCAGTTTGGACAGCCAAGTTAACCACAGAATGAGTAAGTACTCATTAAGGCACATACTAACATTACTTCTGTTTTCTTTTATGTGATAGTTAATGTGTTGGACATTAAAGGTAATTTGGAGACACTCGAAATAGCCTTGCTTTGAGAACTAGTTTTTCTTCTGATTGCATATGCTTATGTGTATATTTGTGAGACTTATCATAGCATTCTTTTTTTTTTAAGAAAAAGACTTACCTTCTCATGTTCAGGAGATGCATAGAAGAAAGGAATTTCTAGATCATCAACTTGATGAACTTTCCCGCCAGCGTGCTTTATGCCGAGGAGGAAGGGAAATACAGGTATCTAAACATGTCTTGATGAATATTTTTTAATAGCTGATAAGTACAGAAGCTAGTGATGAGTATTTGATACCAATGTTTTATTGTGGAATAGCATAATTGGTGTATAAAGATGTATAAAAAAGCGGTATGCCTTATATTAGGGATTAAAAAACTTTCTAAAAAGGAAAGGTAGTAAGTAATTTAGACTTCGCAGGCCATATGGTCTCTGTTTCAACTACTCAGCTCTGCTGTTGTAGCATAAAAGTAGTGATAGATAATACATAAACAAATGGATGTGGCTGTGTTCCAATAAAACTTTATTTATAAAAACAGATGGTGAGCTGAATTTGGCCCAGGCTGTAGTTTGCTGTTGCCTGCCTTGTATTAAAGCTGTAGTGAATTTATTAGATATCTTTCAGTTGCAGGTTAAAGCCAAGTTAGACAAAAAGGGAATTCACTGACTTAGATACCTAGGAACTCTGGGAGTGATTAACTCCAGTGTAGCTGGATCCAGAGGCTCAGATGTCATTTCTCCATCCCTTGATTTTTCTGTGTGTCAGACATTTCTCATCTTGGAGAAGACAAGTGCCAGCATCTCTGGGTACCACCGCTCCAGCTTAGAAAACCCAAGGGAGGGGCGCCTAGGTGGCTCAGTCAGTTAAGCATCCAACTCTTGATTTTGGCTCAAGTCATGATCTCTCAGGGTTGTGAGATCAAGCCCCGTGTTGGGCTCCATGCTCACCAGGGAGTCTGCTTCTCTACCTCTCCCTCTGCCTCCCCCCTCCACCACCCCCCCAACTGCCCACTCTCTTTCTCTCTCTCTCAAATAAATAAATAAATTGGAAGGAAGGGAGGAAGGCAGGCAGGCAGGAAGGAAACCCATAGGGCAAGAAGGGGCTGCTTTCCCTGCTATCCATGCATCAGTTCCATGGAGGGAGTCTGATTAGTCCCTAGGTGTGCAAGCAGGTCTAATCCCTGTTTTTAAGGGAATGTGAGCCAGTTTACCAGGCCTATGTTATATGCCCATCACTGTGGCTAGAGGAATGACTGGAATGTGATTAATAACCTGTTGGAACCACCCAGAAATTAATGGAGGAATGAGCCCCAGGGGTTGGACTGCCCAGCAGACAGAAATAGCACACATGGGACACACTAGACAGAACGGAATCTTGTACAGTGTTAAGCTTTATCAGATTAACGCTTAAGTGAAGCTCAGGGTGCCAGACCATAGAGAAATTGAATAGAGACGTTTATTGCGCACAGATCCTGGAGGAAGTACACGTCCCGCCTCCAGGGGCCACACAGGGAGGTCAAGGCAGAATGCAGACCGAGAGGCAGGACCTGGGCGCTCGTCTTTGTTGGGGTCTGTGGGTGAGGTGCTTTGGGGGTCCTGGGCTAGGGCCAGATGGGGCAACTCAGCCCAAAAGAGCAGGGCTTAGATAAGCTGCATGGGTGTGCATAAGGCACACAGGTGCTGGAGGCAGGGGAGACTGTGGTCCTGAGGGCAGTCCTGTCGGGGCTTGCATTTGCTCGGACTCTGTGGCTGCTCTCTTACCTGGGGCCTTGTTCGCGGGAGGCCTCGTGTCCGTGGAGGGTCTCTTCGGGCTGCCTGGCCGGACAGCGTGCACGAGGCAGCAGTACCGTGGGGTAGCGTAGCCCCAGCACACCCCCGTGGCGGGACTCCTGGGGAAGAGAGAAGGAACTGGGCGAACAGCGAGTCTTGGGCAGGTAGGTTACAGTGCCGCCGGAGAGGCAAGGCGGGAAAGCATTTTAAAATGGCTCAGTTTAACGTTAATGATTGCACTCTCACTTTCCCAGAGGCAAGAATTAGATGAAAAAATTGCGAAAGTTTCAAAAGAGAGGCAGGAACTAGCTTCTAAAATTAAAGAGGTAAGTGGTTCACCTGGAGCACTTTCCAGGTTTTTCTCTTTCTCTTTTTATTGTGAATTATTTCACACAACTGATGGGCTTTTCTCAACTGCATTTAAATATTATGAAAAGCTTTTTTAAATGTTAAAGTAGAGAAAATGATGCAATTACAGGTACATTTGCTGTTTTTGTTTTAGCCTAATAATTCTTATCGTCATTGAGATTTCTAAGAAAGAGGTGATTATAAAGTATTTTTTCCTTTTCTAGGTCTGGGTAAGGATTAAACTCCGTTGTTAGGTGCTCTCCACACCCCCGGCACTGCAAAGTCGATTATGATAACTATCATCAGATGAATAGTTAGTGAAAGTAGATTTGAAGGTGTTTTCCCTGTTAAAAAGAAAATAAAATCCGTGCCCGCCCAAGGACACCAAAAAGAGAAGGGGAAAAAAAAAGGAAAATCAGATGTCTAGATTCAAGTAGCGTGACAGTGGCTGGGGATTTGGCAAAAGAGAGTACAAACAAGTCTTTTACAATTCTTGACTGAAAGCATAAACTTATCCTATTTGTTTTTGATCATAAGAATCCTTCTATAGCATGTGTAACTTCTTCCCCAGTATTTTCTGGGTATAAAAATATCATCAAGGGGCATCTCGCTGGCTCAGTTGGTGGAGCATGTGACTCTTGATCTCTCGGGGTTGTTGAGTTTGAGCCCCACGTTGGGCACAGAGCTCACTTAAAAATAAAATCTTTAAAAAAAAAAAAAAAAAAAGAACAAGATTTAGATTGATCAAAGCTAGGATGAGCCTGATATATATCCTTGTGACCAGATTGCAGCCCTAATAAACCAGTGGGGGTCAGGGAGAGCAGGTTATAGCAACTGGTAACGTTACTAGTATTTTTAAGCTGAGATTTTTCTCTTGAATGTATTAGCCTTCCCGATATAGCTAAATAAATAACAGTTGAACAATTTAGCTGTTTGTTCATTTAAATAAAAAAATTACGTGGAAAGGTTTCTATTAAAATTGTCAACTGAGCCCAAAATTACTTCCCAAACTTAAGGATGAAGTCTGTTTTTGCATATACTGTGGGTTTTGCTGCTCATCACCTTGTTCTGTGGGCCATTGAATTAATTGTACTTGGCAGTTTTCCTCAGGTGGCTGAGAGGAGAGGTGTGTGACAGTGCATTCACGTGTGTCCCTGGGAGGGTCACAGTTGCCACCATCTCCCTGAAGCTTCCACACATGCTTGGGAGTCCACGTCTGGGGTTGAACAAATGCGGAGGGATGAACCCCTGTTTAGGAACCGAAATAGGCTCACTGCATCTCTGATAAGAACCCTGGTTTATTGGCTTGAACACTAAATGGGAGGTGCACTGTCTGGCGCCATCACACAATCCATGTGGCAGAGATGGACCGAGGTGGTCTTTCTTACGTGCAAGCAGAATGCTTCTCGTTTTCACAGGCATTGTCGTCGTTGGTACAAGCCTTTGTAAAAGAAAGAACAACATTATATACTTAAAAACTGACAGAAAAATGTATGTTCAAGCTGAGTTCTGACCCTAGTTTAACTCAGATAATTGCTTCACAACTATCTCTACGCATTCTGATACCTGCCCACATACATCTGCTGTAAGAATTGTAATTTGCTTTGACCAAATCAAGCCTGAATAAATTTTTCCTAATGTGCTTAAATCCTGTTCTGAGCTTAGACTGCACTGCAGTGCACAGTGTTCTCTCTGGTGGTTTCTGATTATCTTAAACGTTTCTGCCGTTTTCTAGATTTGAGGTTCCCCCTCAGCGTTCACCAAATATGTTTATCACATAATAAATGGTGGATGTTTTACAGTAAAAAATAGGCCTACCATAATCAATTTATATACAGCGAAATATTGATGCATCTTTATTTGTTGTCTTAGGTTCAAGGACGCCCACAAAAAACACAGAGCATCATCATCTTAGAGTCTCATGTCATCTGCTGCACATTGAGCACAAGTGGTGGTTTACTGCTTGAGTCTGCTTTTCGTGGGCAAGGGGGTGTCCCCTTCAGTTGTGTCATTGTCGATGAGGTCAGTAGGCGGTCGGCGGTATGACTTGGATGTTGCTGTGAGGGCCGAGTCTTGAGGGAACCATGCTGCTGCTGAGTTAGAGCAGAGTCCTTGTGTAGCTGGTTTTTAACCTGCAGTCACATGTGTATAGTCTCTTATGTTGAAATGTGCTGCTTACGGCCCCCCACGGTTAAAATGGCTTTCCCAGAATTGGGATTATATAGTCTTAAGGATGCCTGACTGTTCCCAACAGATCCTTCCCAAGGAGTATCTCGCTTCTGCTTGGAATAGCTCTGGTTCCCTTTTGAAGCAGTTTTAATATAACTTTGGACAGCTCTGAGCCACAATATTTTCAGCTAATATCCTTTATTCGTAGTTCATTCATTGAGCAAGCATTTGTTGGGTACCTACTGTTGGCCAGAATGTAGAGCCAGAAGACAAAAGACGTGGAAAATGAGATACAGAGGATCAATCCAAGATCCAGTTTCACCAAAACGAAAGAACAGAAACCATGGAAATGTTGAAATAATTGAAGAAAATGTTATTGAAGAGAAGCTTGAGTCTTGCAGATGATGAGGCCTGCGGGGAACAAGGAAGAAAGGGGGTGGCAGGGAGAGGGGAGTCACACAGCCATGCAGTTCCCGTGGGCAAGTGCCCAGAAAGAACAGAGAACATAGGACTGGGGCATTACATGCCTTCCAGCCCATGGCTGGTTCCCAAGTGGTCATGGTACCCTGCTGGTTCCAGCTTCACAATGCACCTGTGGTGGTTCTTCTTAATTGATTGTTTAGAGTGTTTGTTTCTGTTGTTGTTTTATCTTCTAACCAAAAAAAAAATCCTTATTTTTTTTCTCATTTTTCTTATTTTTTTATTATTTTAATCACCTGGTGTTCATCACAATAAGTACTTTTCAGAAATCCTTATTTTTGATACTCAGTGCAGAAGGAGAAAGTGTGATACTTTCCTGAATGTTAGAACTTTTATGAATTAGATAAAGTGTACATGGATAAAGAAACAGCAAAGATGATTTTTTTTTTTTTTTAAGATTTTATTTATTTATTTGAAAGAGAGAGACACAGCAAGAGAGGGAACACAAGCAGGGGGAGTGGGAGAGGGAGAAGCAGGCTCCCCGCAGAGCAGGGAGCCCGATGCGGGACTCGATCCCAGGACCCTGGGATCATGACCTGAGCTGAAGGCAGTCGCTTAACCGACTGAGCCACCCAGGCGCCCGCAAAGATGATTAAGAACACTTTCTCATTCTGTACTTTCTTCCCAAGGCCGGGCAGTCTTGTGAGGTTGAGACTCTTACTCCACTCATCCATCGTTGTAACAAGCTCATCCTCGTAGGAGATCCTAAACAGCTCCCTCCCACGGTCATTTCTATGGTAAGTTAGTTTCACGTTCATATTGCTTTAAAGTGGAAGGGCCCTTTTTGTTCTTGTGTTTGGAGGGGGTCTGTCTTGGATCATCATCTCTTATTTGGAAGGAAAAGTAGGGAATGGCTAAGGAAAGAGAACCACTGTTTGAATTTTAAGAGTAAAAGTCTGTAAAAATGTCCCTTTGTTCCTGATTGTGCTTATGTGCATGTGTGACCCGAGCAGGGCGTGTGCCCGAGACCTGAAGACAAGAACGACCGTGTTCCATGTGCGGCCTGCTCTATCTTGGGGAAGGGCGGTGCACAGCTATTTTAAGGGCTGTATCCAATCCATTTTAGTAACATAAACACCAAAACAATAATAAAAGAAAAATTTTAAGTTTCCTAACCTCCTGATTTATATTTTAAATGTATGCAAATTTGAAAACGTTATCAAGAGTACTTTAAATATACTTAGAGTACATTTCCAGTTTTAGAATTCTGTGTCCTATCATACAAAAAAAAAAAAAAAAATAACGCTGTGCCTCTCTCGTCCTCTGAAAGTGCAGTGTCAGGAAGAGAAAAGGGGCCGTGAGCCCCGCTTATGGGGAGGACCAACCAGCACCTCGAACGTGGCCCGCCCCTCTCTGCTGTTACTGCACCACAGAGGGCTCCTAGAAATGCACACCAGAATCGGGACTTTTGTAGATGTTTTGGGTAATCTAAATAGGTGTAGACCATGGCTTTGAATTTATTTTATTTTATTTTTTTTTTTTTTAAAGATTTTATTTATTTATTTGAGACGGAGAGAATGAGAGACAGAGAGCATGAGAGGGAGGAGGGTCAGAGGGAGAAGCAGACCCCCCACCGAGCAGGGAGCCCGATGCGGGACTCGATCCCGGGACTCCAGGATCATGACCTGAGCCGAAGGCAGTCGCTTAACCAACTGAGCCACCCAGGCGCCCCATGGCTTTGAATTTAATTAATAGTTATATATTTCACTAATACAAAGATTGTTTGTACAGAGGAGTGGTTGCATAAATAACCCCAGAGAACAGATCATTCCAAAGCATTTCTGTTCAGTTGTGGAATGAAAGCAAGTGGTTTTTGTTGTCATTACTGTGTTTTGACTTCAGAATTATTGAAAATGATAGTGCAGTTCTTTGACATCTGAGCACGTGCATGATCACACTATGGTGTTAGCCTAGAAGCACACCTGAGATCTCTGAGTGAAAACCTGTGTCCGTAGGAAAAGCTGCGGGTGATTCTGTTCATGGAGAATAATGAAGAACCGACTCTGTATTGCATTTCTTTTAAATAACATGGTATCTCGCAAATTTACTGATTTAACTTCTTGAAGGGACTCAGCATGTAGTGAAAAGGGATTGTTGATGGGCCCCAACTTTACTGCTTACTTTGGTGATTGATAAAAGCAGCAAAAATGAGAAAAATCTGCTTGGGCTTATTATTATTACAGAAATAATATGGGCTTATTGAGAAAAATTTAGAAGATAATTACAAAGTTAATTTTCTCAACATGCTTTTCTATCCACCTGTTTCTAAGAAGAATTACTGGGAACAGTTTAGTATTTTAACAGATTTTGCTGGGCATTTGTGTGTTCGTTTATTCATTTCTTTCCATCAGTATTCATTGAGTGCCAGCCTAATTCAGGCACTGTTTCAGGTACTGGTGTTAAAACAGTGAAGAAAACAGACAAAAGTCCCTGCCCTTTTGGAGCTTGCATGTAGGGGGTAACAGACAGTACATAAGTCGCTAGGATATGGTATGTCAGGTGGCTATAAGGTTTGTGTGTGGTGGTTGTATGTGTATAGAGTTTGCTTTAAAGGGGGCAGAAGCATTCTGTGCCAAGTTGCCTTTTTTTCCGGTCTGTAAATAGATCAGGAATATCCTTCCATGTCAGAACGTAGAAATCCACATCATTCTGTAGGGGAGACTCAGTCTTTTTCTGCAAGTGGAACTGTTGTTACCTTTTTCTTTTTCAAAATAGGTTTGGCTAACTTGTGAATAGATCAACTTCTGGGGATGTAGATAAAATGGTTGAATGTCTACTACTAATATTTTATTTAGTTACACAGACTTATTTAAAATCACATATAGAAATAACCTATGATTTAGGAAGTAATGCCTTCCCCCCCCACTACTCTCCTAATTTGTGAAACAGGTTTTTCGAACTTCGCACACACGTCTTCAGCATCACGTGTGAAGATCCCATATCCGTTGTCTTAGTGCATTCTTAAGTGCACATTTGCTTCTAGATGATTTAAGACACAATACTTCTTGAATATTTGTATGATGTTGACATCGAAAAGTATATCCCACGGCACAGCTACAATAACATTAGAACTATTCTCTTCATTTATCTTTTAGGTCACTAATTTTTCAGGTCTTAACTCATTAATAGGTTTATGAAATCAACTTAGTAATTATTGTCACTTGTCTTTCTCCTCCACTGGAATACAAATTCTGTGGCACTTGATCTAATTCACTTAACAGTCTCAGCACTCCAACTTCTAGGTGCTCTCAGTGTATGTTGGATGGATGAGATTGGTCTTTAAAAGGCTTGTGTACAATGACAACCAATATTTCCATCTGTGAGAGAATACCTTAGATATAATTGTTAAAATCTGTGCTGCAATTCTTTCTTTTATTGATTCTTTCAGGTGACCTCTGTTAGCATCAAAACAGCTTTAGTTATGGCCATTCATTACAAGATCACATCTTTTCCTTTTTTTTTCTTTTTTTTAACTAAGTAGGCTCCACACCCAACATGGGGCTTGAACTCACAACCCTGAGATCAGGGGTCGCATGCTCTACCAACTGAGCGAGCCAGGTGCCCCAGATCACATCCTTTTCATAAGCAGTATGTGGGTTTTCTAAATAAACTTTTATAGTCAAGCTACATCATTTTTCAAGGCCTGGAGTCAGAAACATCTTCCTCTGAATCTGTGGTTGTTGGCCATCTTATGCCGCTTACATATTAGAGCTCAGTTGCTGTTTTTACAATAGTGAGAAAAGTATAAACAAATGCTTGGAAATTGTTGTTCTCGCCCTTTCCAGAAAGCACAGGAATATGGCTATGACCAGTCAATGATGGCGCGCTTCTACAAGCTGCTGGAAGACAATGTGGAGCACAATATGATCGGCAGGCTGCCTATTTTACAGCTTACTGTTCAGTACAGGATGCACCCAGACATATGTCTCTTCCCCTCTAATTATGTTTATAACAGAAGCTTGAAAACAAATAGGTGAGTTCCCATTCATTGCTTATATTAGCTTATTTTTATTTGTGGGCTTAGCTGCTTAGGAAGAATAGCTATTTTACTGTGTTCTTAAGTCATCATAAAAAGCATAAATCAGAGGTTTAATAATTTTTTCTAATTACAAAAGCCATGTTGATTTTAGCAAATGCAGATAAAAAAAGAAGGGGGGAAGATTGCCCTTATTTATGCTGCCCAGAAATAATCACTGGTAACATCTTGGTATATCTATTTCTAGTCCTTACACTATACATATCTTTTTTTACTTTTTTACTTTTTAAATTTTTGAAAAAAAGAATCACACCATACTCAGCATAGTACAGATCTTCTTTGACTTATGATGGAGTTACGTCCCAATAAACGTATCATAAATCAAACCTACCTACCAAACATGGCTTAGCCTGGCCTACTGAAACATACTCAGAACACTTACATTAGCCTACAGTTAGGCAAAAATCATTAACACAAAGCCTATTTTATAATAAAGTGTTGGATATCTCATGTAATTTATCAAATACTGTACTGATAGTTACAAACAGAATGGTTGTCAGCGTAGAAGTTGGTTACCCTCATGACTGCGGGGCTAACTGGGAGTAGCTCCTCAGTGCTGCCCAGCGTCTCGTGAGAGGATTGTACTGCGTGTTGCTAGCCCTGGACAAGATCCAAATTCAAAATTCCAAGTACAGTTTCCACCGAAATGTATTGCTTTTGCACCAGAGTTAAGTTGAACCATCCAAAGTCGGGGACTGTCTGTATTCTCTGGCTTGCTTTTTTCACTTACTATATTAGGAGTGACTTTTCAATTGCAGTTACCTTCAATTGCACAGATCACTCTCCCTAGCCTAGAACAGAAATAAAATCTGTTTTTTACCTTTCACTAAAACACATTTTGATAAAATAAGGTATTTCTTATCCTTAGTTCCTTCCCTAACAAAAAAATAGTAATAAAAATAAAATATTTTCTTATAACTTGTATTCTGAATGGTGGTTGCTTTTTTGTAGACAGACTGAAACCAATCGGTGTTCATCAGACTGGCCATTTCAACCTTACCTGGTGTTTGATGTCGGAGACGGTTCAGAAAGACGGGATAATGAGTATGTTCTCCTCTCTTCCATCCCCAGGGATGGTCCCAGAGCTGTTATTTTTGTTCATATTTACATGGAAAACATTTTCCATATATCTCTTTGCCTAGTGCCAGGGCACAGGCATTTTTCTGGAGCTAGGCTACTAGCTTTTCCTTTATTATCATAAATTACTAATATCTTTCTCTATACGTTTCGGCCTTTTAGTTCTTCTTAATTGTGTAATGGGGATGGTAATCCCTAGCATGGTAAGCGCTTGAGTAAATACATGCTAATAAGATCACAGCTGTTGTAAGACAGACATGGCCCCAGTGCATGGATGGCTCTTGTGATCTAAGAGGAGAGACAGACACAACTGGGTAATCGCCAAGGTAATTACTTATTCCAGCTGGGTTAAGCGGTGTGAGGATCAGTATAGATCCATTTGAATTAAGGTAGGAGACAGAGGGTGGACAGTACCTGATGTCTGGGATTGTGTATAAGGGAGTGTATTAATGTGGTCTGTGAAGGATTGAAAAGGAGTGGTGACTGCTAAGTAGGAGAAACTTCTAAGGAGTTAGGGCATCTTGTGAGAAAATAGAGGGGTAGTGGTCTGTAGGCTGTGTTTGTTAGCACAGGTCCTAGCATGGAGTACGGGGAGAGTACACATACCACCTCTGCGTCCCTGAGAGCGCTGTAGAGCAGGTGGCGTCCTCAGTAAGGATTAGGTATTAGTTGAGCTACTGAGGTGGGGGGACAGGACACTGAGTGAAGAAGTTAGGGCTACAGAGAAGCAGTTGGCCATAAGCATTGTTGGGGGTGAAGGTCACAGAAGAGTGTTGACCTGAGAGGTGACCGAGGAAAGTAAATTAGACTTCAGTGATGGAAGAGAGAGCTGGCTAATGGGGTTTTCTGTCGAGTAAGTCAGAAGTTAAGATTGTGGGTATTAAAGGCCCTTAAAGTGAGACCGCTAAGATGGCCTCAGGTGCAGTGCATGTTGCTCCTAGAACAGTAATGAAGGGGTGCGTGTGGTTTGGGAGGTGAGTTGGGAGTGCAGGAAGAGGCCAGTGAGGATGCAGGCCTGCTGCAGGATTCCATGTTGTTCACCTCTGGGGGCTACATCACATTTAGTCTGTGTGGATGGCATCCCCTCGCCGTGTGGTGCCCAGCCAGCGTGGGGAATTAAGAAAGATAATATGATAAAGCACTTTTTTCAGTGTGTGGAAGATAGCAAATTCTTAGTGTTCGCTATTTATTATTCATATCTTCGTTATTATGAATACTTTTGTTCTGACTGTTGCTGTCCCGGTTACAACAAATGAAGATATCGGTGAGTAAACTTCAGTTGACTTCAGAGTCTTTTCTTTCTTACAACTTCCTGTTTCACTGGGTGGTTATAGGTCTTCAAGTATGCAATATTAATGGTCATTATAACAGCTTCTTTGAGCCGCTGATGACTGAATAAAGGTGAAACATACCTGCCTGCCCTTCACTGTAACGGAAAACAAAGTAGGACTGAAGCTAGCAGTTGGACTGCTATTAGTTTTGATGTGTTTTGTTTTGTTTTTTTCATCTTATTTAGCTCATATGTAAATGTTCAAGAAATAAAACTGGTAATGGAAATAATTAAACTTATTAAAGACAAAAGAAGGGATGTTACTTTCCGGAACATTGGCATAATAACCCATTACAAGGCTCAGAAGACGATGATTCAGAAGGATTTGGACAAAGAATTTGATAGAAAAGGGTGAGGCATCTATATTTTTACAGATATTTCCAGTTTTTCTGTTGAATTAAAAAGAAGAAAGAGGGGATAAAAGGAAACCTAACTCTAGGAAATGGCCTTAGGCCGTGGTAATACAGCAGGAGGAGACTCAAGGCTTCGGTCATGCTGGGTAGGGAACGCTCAGACTCCCGGCCCCGCAGACCAGCCATAGACAGAGTACCTCCTGCTGATCGGGATGTCCTCACCACCATTGGCAGTGGAACCCACTGAGAAACCCTCCAGTCCTCTTCCTTTACTTCTATGACTTGTTAATCTGAATTCTCATTCTAGTAAGATTCACGAAGTAACACTTTCACTTAGAATAAAGTATTTAATCCTTTTCATGCCTTTATGTACAGGGTGAAGATCATGTTTTTGTCTCCTTCTTACCTCAACAATAAAATTAAAGATTAATTATCGGAAATCCATTAATTCAAACATTTCTTAACCTAGGAACACACAAGCTACCAAAATTGGCTCTAGAAAAAAATAAGAAAATTTGAACAGACCTGTAAAAAGTAAAGAGATGGAGTTAGTAATCAAACACTTTCCAACAAAGGAAAACCCAGGACCAGGCTTCACTGGTGAATTCTATCAAACAGTAAGATCAGAATTAATACCAATCCTTCTCAAACTCTTCCAAAACATAGAAGAGGAGGGAAGACTTTCTAACTCCTTTTATGAGGCCAAAATTACCTTACCAGAGCCACGGAAAGACATCACAAGAAGAGAGAAACTACAGGCCAGTATCCCTTATGAATATGGATGTAAAAATCCTCAACAAAATAATGGGAACTGAATTCAGCATATTAAAAGGATTATACACCAAGACCATAGTGGAATTATCTCAGGAATGTAAGGTTGGTTCAATATACAAAAATCAACGTGACACAACATATTAATAGAATAATGGGAGAAAACCCACATGATCATCTGAGTAGATACAGAAAGAGCATTTGACTAAATCCAGCACCCTTTCAGGATAAAAACATTCAATAGACTAGGAATAGAAAGGAACTTCCTCAACCTAATAAAAGGCATCTATGAAAAACCCACAGCTAACATCATATTTGATGGTGAGACTGAGTGCTGTCCCCCCAGGATCAGGAAGGACGCCTGCCCTCACCACTTCTGTGCAGCACTGTATTAGAGGTTCTGAGCAGGATTATTGAGCAAGAAAAGAAATTAAAGGCATCCATATTATAAAAGAAGTAAAACTATCCTTTTTCATAGTTGGCAGGACCTTATATATCAAAAACCACATAAACCATTCATTCTAATGCGTTCAGCCAACTTGTAGGATGCAAGATCAGTATACAGAAATTAGTTGTATTTGTATACAGCAGCAACTAGCAATCTGAAAAGGAAATTTAAAAAACAATTGTTTATAATGGCATCAAAAAGAACAAAATACTTAGGAACGAATGTAGTAAAGACGTATAAAACTTACACATCAAAAAGTACAAAACGTTGCTGAAGGAAGTTAAAGAATACCAAGATAAATGGAAAGATAGTCTGTGTCCGTGGATTGGAAGACTTCGTGCTGTTAAGGGGGCAGCACTCCCCAGAGTGATTGATCTACAGATTTCAGTGTTGTCTCTAGCAGAATCCAGCTGCCTGTTTGACAGAAACGGACAAGCTTAACCTAAAATTCACGTGGAAATATCTTGAAAAAGAACACTAAATGTTGGAGGGTTCACACTTTACTATTTCCAAACTTACTGCATAGCTGGTTATCAGAACTGGTACTGTCCTAAGGATAGACATAGAAACCAGTAGAATAGAATTGGGAGTTCAGAAATGAACCCGCTCATTTATGACCAGTTGCTTTTCAACAAGGGTGCCAACGTCATTCAGTGGGGAAATAATAGCCTTTTTATAAATGGTGCTGGGCCAACTAGATCTCCACACGCAAGAGAATGTATTTTTTTTTTAAATAAGGAGCAAGTGGGAGGGAGGGGCAGAAGGAAAGGGAGAAGGAGAATCTTAAGCAGGCTCCACCCACGCCCAGCACAGAACCAGACACGGGGCTCCCTTCTCACCACCCTGAGATCATGACCTGAGCCAAATCAAGAGTCCGAAGCTTAACTGGCTGAGCTGCCCAGGCACTATGAAAATGAATTTTGACTCTTGTCTCACACCATACAGTATAATGAACTTAAAGTGGATTAGAGCACTGAATCTAAGCGATAAAATTATAAAACTTGAAATAAAGGTATAAATCTGTGTGACTTCAGATTAGACAACAGTTTTTCAGCATGACACCCAAGCACAAGTTACCAAAGTAAAAATAGATAAATTGGGCTTCATAATTAAAAATTTAGAAACCTTTGTGTGTCAAAGTACACCATTTAAAAAGGGAGAAGACAGCCCCCAGAATGGGAAAATATACGGATAGTTCCTGATTTACCATGGTTTGACTTAGAATTTTCCAACTTTATGATGGTGGGAAAGCAGTACACATTCAGTAGAAGCTATACTTCAAATTTTGAATCTGGATCTTTTCCCCAGCTGGTGATGCGCAGCACAAGCCTCTCGCGGTGCTGGGCAGCAGTGGGCGCAGCTCACAGGCAGTCCCGCGGCCACTGGCAGCCATCCTGTACCTATCCTAGAGCAGTGGTCGGTAAATTACATGAGATAGCCAATGCTTTATTATAAAATAGGCTTTGTGTTAGATGACTTTGCCCAACTGTAGGCTAATGTCCGAGGTAGGCCAGGCTAAGCTACAGTGTTCGGTAGGTTAAGTGTAGTAAATTACATTTTCAACTTGGGGTATTTTTAACTTACGATGGGTTTATTGGGATGTAACCCATCCTAAGTCAAGGGAAATCTGTACTTGCAAATCATGTATCTGAATTATATAAAGAACTCACACAACTCAAAAATAAAAAGTTAAATAATCTAATTTTTTTAATGGGCAAAGGATTCAAATAGCATTTCTCAAAAGTAGGTTGTAAACAAATGGTCCACAAGCACATGAAAAGATGTTCCACATCATTTGTCATTAGGGAGATGCAAATCAAAACCACAGTGAGACCCCATGTCACCCATCTAAATGACTCATAAAAAAACAGACAATAACAAGTTTGGGCAAGGATGTTGAGAAATTGGAACCCTTGTGCATTGCTGGTGAGAATGTGAAATGGTAGATCACTGTGGAGAACAGTTTAGCAGTTCCTCAAAAAGTGGAGCATAGGGGCACCTGGGTGACTCTGTCAGTCAAGTGTCCTCTTGATTTCAGCTCGGGCCTGGCCATGATCTCAGGGTCGTGGGATCAAGCCCATGTTGGGCTCCCTGCTGGGCATGGAGCCGGTTTGGGATTCTTTTCTCTCCCCCTCCCACTCCCCCAACATTCACATTTGTGCTTTCTCTCTCTCAAAAAAAGTGAAGCGTAGAATTCCTGTATGACCCAGAAATCTCACTCCTAGATAAATACCTGAAAGAATCGAAAAAATGTTAGCACAAGAGCTCGTAAGTGAATGTTGATAGCAGCATTGTTCATAATGGTCAAAAAGGGAAAATAACCCAGATGTCCCATCAGTTGTAAATGGATAAATAAACCATGGTGTATCTGTACAACCAAATATTCAGTCCTAAAAGGAGTGCAGTACCGTTACACACTACAGCAGGGATGAACCTTGAACATGTTCTAAGTGAAAGAAGCCGAGCAGGAAAGGCCACATATGTTATGGTTCCATTTATAAATAAAATTTCCAGACAGAAAGTAAATTCGTGGTTGCCAGGCCTGGAAAGAGGGAAAAATCGAGATTAACTGCTAATAGGCACGAATGAAGGAAATGTTGTGAAAGTACATAGTGGTGATGGTTGTACAACATAGTGAATATACTAAAAACCACAGAATGCTATACTTTAAAGTGGTGAATTTTATGTCACATGAATTATATATTGATAAAAGATACCATGACAAAAGCTGAAAAAATGCTACTGTATAAATATGCATATTTAATAATTATCTTAACGTTTTTCAGTAAACATATTTGTCTTTTGTAAATAGGCCAGCAGAAGTAGATACCGTGGATGGGTTCCAGGGCCGGCAGAAGGATTGCGTTATTGTTACGTGCGTCAGAGCAAATACCATGCAGGGCTCAATTGGGTGAGTGTCACTGGCTTTTTACTTGTCTGTAATCTCGAGTCAGATCTGGTTTTGATCACTGTTGGAGAATATCATTATTTGCGGTATTTTCCTTTATAAAAACTTGCGTCACTTCATGAAAGTTTCCTTTTTCACTTGTAAAGTTGATCCACTGTCACGTCTGCTTCTCTTGGACCTTGTCTATCACCCACGTCCAGGGGCAGTCTGTTCTTTGACCTCCTAAGAGTAACCTAACTCTTGGCTCGGGGGTAGTTTGCAGGGGGCCTGTCCTTTCCACGATCTGTCATAGAGTGGCTTTTCGTCTTGTCTGTGTTTTTGTGCTTTGCTAAGTTTGTAAACCTTAACTCCTGTCAGTTGACTCACTAAAGATGCCAAGAACATTGTAATGAGTGACAGAAAACTCCCCTGAGTCTCAGAGCCCTGAGACTCTTGGGTGGCTGCCTTTTCCTGCTCTTGAGGAGCAGGTGAAATTTACAGATTATAAATGAGTTTCCTTGCTCTTAAAGAAAATAGTAACATGAGTTACCTGTTCCCTGTTTGGAGAGAGTCTGCATGGACACGTGAAGACATTGGTATCTCTGGGGCATCCTGTGAAGCAGAAAGGCCACCTTCTTCATACAGCAGTTCTGTTATTGCTGAGCTCTCCTCAGATGTGTTGGTACCTTTGTCTGATATGTGTGTGCTTCTCCTCTCGCTCCACAACATTTTACTGATCTCCGACATACTAAGAATAACTGATCTAGTAGCGTGTTTTTAGGATGTTTCTAAAGCTTTAAGGATGATACTGTTAAGGGGCGCCTGGGTGGCTCAGTCGGTTGGGCATCTGCCTTCAGCTCAGGTCATGATCCCAGGGTCCTGGGGTCAAGCCCCACATCGGATCGGGCTCCCTGCTCAGCGGGGAGTCTGCTTCTCCCTCTGCCCCTCCCCCTGCTTGTGCTCTGTCTCTCACTGTCAAATAAATAAAATCTTTAAGAAAAAAAAAAAATGACACTGTTAAAATTCCCAGTATCTTTTCCAAGTCCAAATAGGAGATTGACAGACAGATGCATCACTTTCAAGGAAAGCTCCAAGCCTTTTGTTTCCAGGTTTTAATGGGAATTGCTTCTTTGCTGGGGACCCTGTGTTGGGAAGAGGGAGAAAATGATGTACCATTAAAGAAGGAGAAGGAGGGGCGCCTAGGTGGCTCAGTCGGTTACGCGACTGCCTTCGGCTCAGGTCATGATCCTGAAGTCCCGGGATCGAGTCCCGCATCGGGCTCCCTGCTCAGCAGGGAGTCTGCTCCTCCCTCTGACCCTCCCCCCTCTCATGCTCTCTCTCTCTCTCATTCTCTCTCTCAAATAAATAAATAAATAAATGAAATCTTAAGGAGAAGGAGCACAGGGAAAGCTCTCTGAAGCACTGTCTGTGTGTCACCTGCACTTACGCTAAGTCGTTCTGCAGAAGGAAGTAACTTTGTTTTTATTGCTTAGATTTCTGGCAAGTTTGCAGAGACTGAACGTCACCATCACACGAGCCAAGTACAGCCTCTTCATCCTCGGACATTTAAGGACCCTCATGGTAGGTGCATTCTCGGGACCAGAGTGCTCCAGTTTGCCCATTGTGGCTGATACTCGGTGGAGGTTTTGTTTTTATTCTCCATCAAAATGGAATTGATTGCAGGGTTACAAAATAATGAGCTGCTTCCCCCTGGTTGTCCTGTCCTTCAGCAACTTCTGTCTGGGAACTTTTATAGATGTAAACTGCTAACCCTTTCCCAGTCCAAGGCCCAAGTATCCACAGTATCCATAATGAAAAAAAAATTGTGTCTCCATCATAGGACTGTTGAGACCTATAAATCCATCCATACGTCTAAGGTGCTAGAACAGTTGTTGGCACTTAGCACGCACTCAGCTACTGTGGCTGTTACTGGCCCAGCTTAACGCCAGCTCGAGGGAGTTTGCAAGAGGAAGCTTGGATCTTCTTTTCTGTTTTGGCATGGGGAGCGTACTGCTCACCCTGTGTCACTTGGGTGGGGGAGGCCGTGTCAGAGCTCCTCTAGGAGACGGGGCGGGTTTACATCCGTGGTAGGCAGAGTGTGGCCTCTGTCGGTGATGTCAGCTGGCTAACACAGGTGTTTGCTGCTTGCCCCTTCAGGGGGTCACAACTTCGAATTCTTCTCATTTTTGTGTTTCCCAAAGTCAGTGGTTATGTTAGGAGAGGAGCTAACTCATTAGATTTTTTTCAGTATTTTTTCCATTTTCTGGTTAGTACCACCAGAGGGCATTCAAATACAGTCTTTCCCATTCAGTTCTTCCCTACATCTGTGGTCTTCAACTTCTGTTATTTGTGTGCCCCCTTGAAGGAATTTTTAAAAGCTGCATACCACCTGTTTTTAAGTTGATATTGAAAATTTGTTATGGTAAGTTTAAGTATTGCTTAAGATTTTGCTTTTGAATATATTATAAATATTGGCATTGTAAAATAAAACTATTAAAAATCTTTACATCACTCTTTTTTTTTTTTTTTAAGATTTTATTTATTTATTTGAGAGAGAGAATGAGATAGAGCATGAGAGGGGGGAGGGTCAGAGGGAGAAGCAGACTCCCTGCTGAGCAGGGAGCCCGATGCGGGACTCGATCCCGGGACTCCAGGATCATGACCTGAGCCGAAGGCAGTTGCTTAACCAACTGAGCCACCCAGGCGCCCTCTTTACATCACTCTTAAATGAATCCATTGGAACAGATAGCAGTATGATTCTTTCTGCTCTTTGAAATTGAATTTCCACTTGTACTTGTTTGGGATAAAATTCAGGGGGGATATATATTTTTATAATTAAAAGCCTTTCTGTTATCTCATACTGTTACGTTTCTCTGCCGCAAAAATTTACATATAAATTGAAAGTTTAAAAAGTATTTTTATAACTACCTGGGGAAACTATGTGAAGGGTGCACAGAACTTCTCTGTACTTTTTCTGCAATTTCCTGTGAATCTGTACTTACCTCAGAAGAAAAGATTTTTTTTTATTATTTCTTAAAATTTTTTAAAACATTTTTTTATAGAATTGTTTTTCCTGGTACCATTAGGATCTAAGTGTTAAAAAATGATTTCTTATCAGTTGATTAACCTGTTAGAGTTATCCTTTTTACACGGTTGAATTTTGGTAATGTTTTAACCTGAAAGGTAAAAAGTGTATTCGAGCTATGTGTCTCCTAGCGACGCCCTGATTGAAGGAGGCTTGCTGGGCACCCCCGGTTTTACTGCCCCCTCTCTGTGGCACCCGGGGATCTGCATGCGCCTTGGCGGTGGCGGTGCACCCCCTGGAGTGCCTGGGCATGGATGAGTGGTGACTGCGGGACGGAGCGGGGCGGGGGAGCCCCTGGAGCACGCGGCGGGGAGCTGGGGTGTCTGCACTCTCGGAAACCAGTGGCACAGAAAGACCAGAATAGGAAAACTGTGGTCCTTGGGGCTTTTTTCCTTTTTTTTTTTTTTTTTTTAATTCTTAGCCCAGTTTCCCTTATGGAAACGTAATCCGTGGTGAAGGTACTTGGTTTCCTCTGAGAAACCAAGAGTAATAGCTCCTTCTCAAAACTGTTTTTGTGATCCTAGGATCGGATTAAATACCAAGTTGAGGTGCCATAGACTTGGCAAAAATAGCAGCAAGGCCATCTGCTTCATGTCACATCTGTGTTTGAGCCTCAGGGTGAGATGCTCGGGAGCGCTCCGGAGTGAGAAGGAGGTTCAGGCCCTGGGCCCAGTAGCGCTCGCGCGGGCCTGTCTGGTGCGTGCCGGCCCTGGGCGTGCGCGTTGTGCATGAGCCTTCAGCCCTCACACAGTCCCAGTTCGTCCAGTCCAAGAAGCCATTACGATAGGAATCATTATTTTATGTACTACTATTAAACTGTGACACTATTTTCACGTAGAATTTTTATATTTATTAAAAGAACTCTTTTGGACTTGTTTCGACAAGACAGACTTCTGTCACCCTTGTTCATACATAAAAGAGAAAATACAAAATGGAGAGGCTGCGGTGTTCCTGGAAGGACTTCACTTTCCGAGTCTAGCACTACAGAATCATTCCCCAGGTCCCACTCACACACGTCCTTGTTTCTGCCACAGACTGTTCCCTGTGCAGTCAGCGGGTTGGGTTGTGGTTGCCTAACCATGAATTCCTCCAGGATTAGGTACTCGGAAACTGCTACCTCGCCAGGAGGTGCCCCAAATTAAGAAATGTTAAATGTGAAATCAATGTGCATTTTAGAATCCATTAAATAAAACATTATGCCCATTTTACAGATGAGGAAATAGGCTCAGAGAGGTTGACTTGACCACGGTCATGCAGCAAGTAAATACTGCTGCCCTCACCCAGTTTTTTGAATAGGGCAGGAGGCCACGTGAGGGCAGCTGTCTCCTCTTTCTTTAGGCTTTGGATTTTCTCCTCTCATGCTCACTCTTCTTTCTAAAGAGGCCCACGTTCTGATGGTTGTAAAGTGGTAGTTTATTGCTGAGGAAAGTCAAACGGGAAGAGAGGAGAGATGCGTGCAGGTGGGGTTTCCTTCTCCTTAGGTTTGCTTTCGTAACTTAAGTTCCTCCAGAAAAGAGACAGACAGTGGGAAAAATCTGTGGAATAGTTGTCTCAGTGGATTAAGACAGTTTAGCCCTTTGGAGTCTGGGAGGCCTTTGGGAATTCAGTGAAGGCTATGAGCCTCTTTCTAGAATAGTCACACACACCCAAAATTTAGGGCTCTCTGAAACCAAGCTTTCCTGCTCCAAAATGTTAGCCTTTCGAGAGATAGGCAAGACTCTAGATCAAGTGTCCAAGGGAACTTTCTGGGATGACAGAGCTGTTCTGTGCACCATCCAGCACACTAACCACTAGGCACGTGTGGCCCCTGAGCACTTGAAATGTGGCTGGTGCAGCTGTGGAACAGAACTTTTTATTTTACTTAACTTTAACTAATTGAAATGTAAGTAGCTACTCGCGGCTGTAGACAGCTGGTCGGGTCTGCAGAAGCTCTGCTTCCCACACAGCATGAGCCACAGGGTAAAATGGTGGAAGTTCTTTCTCATAGGCAGTGACTGGTGCTCTTTTCTGGTAATGTGGCTTCATAATTCTGTATTTGAACTTATTTTTCCTTTAATGGATTCTTGAGAATCTGTTCATGAAGTGTATTTATTATTATTCAGAAACGAAAGCAGAAACTTCATGCTTCCCAAGCGTACGAGTGTTTTGGGGGTGTAATTGTTTTTCCCTTCTCTGTTTCAAGGAAAATCAGCACTGGAATCACCTGATTCAGGATGCACAGAAGCGGGGTGCCATTATCAAGACGTGCGACAAAAACTATAGGCACGACGCAGCGAAGATTCTGAAGCTCAAGCCCGTGCTGCAGAGAAGTCTGACTCACCCTCCTGCCGTAGCCCCAGAGGCGTCCAGACCCCAGGGCGGCTTGCCCAGCAACAAGCTCGACAGTGAATTTGCCAAGACATCTTTCACTTCTTCCCTGTATCACACGCCCCCTGACTCCAAGGAATCTTCTGGTACTGTCACTACAAAGGACCCTGAAAGGCCTCTCCTTCAGGACCGGCTTCGGGACCCACGACTGCTTAGGAGGATGGGCCTAGACCCCGAAGCCAAAGGGGTGGGCCTAAGGGATCCGCAGCCCTTGAGCCCCCAGCATCCCGGAGCGACACCTCCCTCGGGCGAGCCAGGCTTCCCTGGGAGTCACCAGGATCTGGGTAGCGCACAGCAGTCCACTGCCAGAGGAACCGCTCTGAACAACTACAAACCTCCCGCGCAGTGTGAACCTCCAGCTGCTGGGACTGATGTCTCCACAAGTAAAAGAAGATGTGACTGGGAAGGAGGGCTCAGCCACAGAAGAGAGACCCGGGCTTTCAGTGAGGGCGACCAGGACAGGTGGAGCCCGGAGAGCCACTACTTGAAGAGGAGCCCTGGCTGGGACAAGAGGGGACTGGAGAAGGAGGACTGCAGCTCAAAGAAAAGAAGGCTTTTATAGTGAAGCCGCATGGCACAGACTGTCAGCCACAGCATCGTTGCAAACTTAAGCTGACCAGCTAGTGGGACTGTCCAGATAAGATCATTTTTTTTCCTTAAAGGAGTTTGTGTGCTGTTGGAAAACATGGAAAATGTATCCCAACACCTGAGCCTCTTGGTCATCTTCCACAGTTTTTTTGTCAGTTGTAAAAGCTTTCAAGGGCCTTTGTGTGTCTGTAATACTGTCCTTGAAGTCGGAGACTTAGAATGTTGAGCTCCTGTCCTTCTGAGATAAGGGGTCAGACTGAGGCGGGTGTTGTAGAAGTTGAAATGTATATTTGTATAGCAAATAACAAAATCGTTTTAAAATGTAATCTAGTAGACCGCTTTTCTTTCCCCTACTTAAAATGTTAGTCATTTTCAGCAGAACAAACTTTATACTTAAAAAACAAAACAAAAAGGTGGGAGGAGGAGGGCAGGCCCTTTCAGATGTTGTTCCGGCAAGACCTGTTCAGCAGCCCAGGTATTCTGGGAGGCAGGGTTCATGCCGGTGGGTCAGACGGCTGTAGTTCTATTTAAGAAAACAAGTGGAGTCTCCTGGGGGAAACTTCGGGCAGCCGAGTCCTGTTCGGTAAAGTTCTGCTGCTGTTGGACGTTTTCAGATGAGGCTCCTTGGTGCAGGATATTGCACTGCTCTGATGAGTCCAGCCTCCTATTTCAGGAAGCACAGGGTTTCTAGCTAAAATTCGTGTTCCCCTTGAAATAGACGAAGATGAAACAGAAGAATAATTCTTGACCTACCATTCAGATGCCCCCAGCATATTGTGAGTGTCCCGTAACTGGTGGGTGGACAGGTCCCACGGTTGCTGGGGCTGGAGCAGCGTGGGGAATCCCTGTGTGTGAAAGCCGGCAGGTTCCCGGGAGAATCCAACCAGATTGCTCTGGGGGAGCCTGGGGAGCTGCATGTTAGATGTCTACCCAGGGGCCTCGGGTCACCGACCTGGCAGCTTGGGATCCAGGAGGGCCAGCCAGATAGAATACTGTAGGCGGGAAAGAAACACCCTTTCAGAAGAGAAGGCTGAAGGGAAGCGCAGACATTGGAAGTTGAGACCCAGGAGGAGAGTTGACAGGTTTCCTGTGATCTTTGGAGACTGTGTTAACTCCTGAAAAGATGCCACTTTTGTAGGGTCATCTGGTTAGAGGGGGTTGTGCTGTGGTTTGGGGTGCCGTGGGGAGGGGATGTTTGAGTACCTGCACCAGGGGGGTGGGGGGGTCGCTCATTGCAAAGTCCAGTTTTCCAAATTCACAGACATGAGAAATATGGTATCAACAGTTTGCACCTATCAGAACTAGTGGTTTGTAGGGAATGCTGGGCAGCCCAGCCCAGCCCGTTGGCTAACTTGGTTAGGGCCTCCCTTTGAAGATTACTGTGCACCGTTTGAAATTTTGCCATCTGCTTTTTAAGCAAAGAGGGCTTCGTGTCAGAAAATTCTACTGAAGCTGGTTATTAAAAGCTTTAAATGTTTGATTGCCAAAAGTTTAGACATTCTGCTTCTTCATTACTCACATCACCCCAGCGGGGGTCTGCTGACGTCGAGCGGACACCCCCGGCCCTCAGGGAGCACACGCTCCGGCCCCACGGTCGGCCTGCTCCCTGCGTGCGGGTAGGGCATGGGTCCTCGGCCGCAGTGTGAGGAGGTGCAGGGCGAGCCCCACCCTGTCCGGGTCAGGGGCTCTGTAAGCTTCCTGCTTGTGCCTTTGGCAAGGAATGGCACTGTTTCTTTGAGTTTACTTTCCTTCTACTCTTCTTGAGCAGGTTCTTGGCGGCAGCGGTGTAAAGGGCCTAAACTCTGTAGGCTTAGAAAGCAGGCGTGACAGACACAGTTGGGGGCCAGGAACCTCTCCCTGCTGGTGCAGCACGGAGACTAAGAAAGAAGGGTTCCTGTTCCCAGCCGCGGACTTCGCTGCCACGCCCGGACTGTGGGCTTCCGACGAGCGTGACGTGTGTTCTCGTGCGCCCTGTCCGTCCGCTGGTTGCCCACGCTCCCCATCCGAGCCTGTGTCCTGCCGACCTCTCCCTGCGAACGCAGGCCACCTGACACTGCATTTGAAACTGTTTGTTGTTCCACTTGGTAAAAAAAAGTTGGTATAAAGCATTTCCTATGTGTAAATGGGGCCCTTCTCGATGTGGCTGTCCCAGCAGTGTTGGTGAGTGGGAGTTAATCTTGCAGAGTGAGGAATACGGCTGTTTGCTTCGTCCTTGCCACGGCGCTACGAGAAAGTGGCCTGTCTTCACTGTTCGTTCTTTCAACATGAATATATTCTGCTTAAAAACTTGTTTTGCTTCTCTATATATAATTTTCCTTGGATTTATGTGCATGGTTTATTTGGTTCTATGTTTTCATGTATCACCAGGAGCAAATTTGATAAGTACATGTGAATAACCTCCTGTAAATGGATTTTATAACAAAAATGTACTAAACTATTTTCTAAAATTAGTTGCGCAAATGAGAATTCTTTGCTGCAGCTTTGACTCTACGCTCTGAGTTCACAGCTGGGATTTGGTAGACAGTACCCCTCTTTGTGAAAACCTCCATTTTAAGAGAAAGTGGTGAAATTAAAAGCGGAAACCGGAAAACTGGCCTGAGTTAGGTGGGATTCAGCGTCAGTGTGCTCAGCAGAGTGCTTCAGGCCCGTTCAGCCTGCCATGTGGTCTGTCTGCAGACAGCACATGGTGGGGATTTGCTTTATTCAAGAATGTTCTCCAGCCCCCCCACCCCCGGCTCTTGGGGTGAAATCTCACCTGTGAGGTCATGAGGTGTGTCACGACCAGCCCTGGTGGCCAGTCCTGTTTGGGGGCTTGGCCCGACAGAAAAGCATGCTCACCTTCAGGCAGAGGCTGGGGAGGGTGGGAGAGGCTGGGCGGGCGTGAGCGGAGCCCCCAGGGACACGATGGGTGCAGACGTCCAAGTCAGGGTGACTGCCGACGGCCACAGAAGTGGAGCGCGCTTCCTTCGCGGCGTGGGACTCCGCCGCACTCCTGTTGGAGGGCGCTGGCTCATTCCGGATGTGCGAGCAAGTCCCAGGAGGGTGAAATGACGGATGGTGGTAGGGGCCTCCTCAACTCACCAAAGGACCTGGTGAGAGGCCAGTGCTCCGAGGTCCATTTCATCTGTGGAATTCGTTACTGCCACATCTGTAGTGACGATTTTTAAAGTCATTCCTGCCCGACTCGCCCACGCAGTCACCACCACCTCCCGGGGGCCACCATTCATTGTTTGAGGAATAAATAATTCAGGGAGGAAACAAAAATTTAGCTTCAGCTTAAGTAGAATTTACGTATCGTGCAGCACACGACAGCACCTTCTGTACTCACGGGACCCCTCCGTCGCCCTTAACGGACCTGAGTTATTGTCACCCGGTCCTGTACGGAGGCATCTGCCACGTCGAGTGGCATAAATGGTATCTGTAGACAGATGGGGTGCTGGAGCCCCGCGAGGCGGTCCGCGTGGGCCCTGCTCCCCAGCCTCAAGCTCACCTGTGCTGGTGGATGTGCTGGTGGACGTGGCCACCTTTGTGTTGCTGCCACCTGCCTGCAAAAAGAAGTGCTCACATGGCGTTTTCAACCCGGGACGCGCTTCGGAGTCACCTGGGAGCTGTGGAAAAATGCTGCCCCTGGGCTCTAGCCGAGAATCTCTGATGTAATGGGTCCGGGGCCCCGCGCTTGCTGCCCTCTACTTTTTTTTTAAACTCTTAAACTCACTCTCAGGTGATTCCATTGAGCCTCCAGCCTTGAGGCCTGGCTCCTAGGGGTCAGGAGGAGAGAGGAGCAGCCCTCGGGCCCACGGGGGTCATGTCTGCCTTCCTCAACCATTGTCGCCCCCAGGAGCCCCGGACACGGCAAGGCCCACCACGAAAGGCCATCGGGGCACCTTCGCTTTCGTTCGGAAGGAGGTTCCCAGGACAGCAGGGCCAGGGAAAGGAGAACTGGAAACCGCTCAGGTGACTCCTGGGGCCGTTAGAAGGGAGGAGGGCCGGGGTGAGTCCGTGTGGCCAATGAGGCCTCGAAAAGGCAACGGGTCTGGTGCTTGTCCAGCAGGGACGCCCGCGTGGCCGCTGTTGAGGCGAGGGAATCCCGGGCTGGGGCTCCACGTTGGAGCTAAACCCCGCACGGCAGAGTCCGCTGGGCGCGTGCGGGTGTTCTAACACCAGCTCCTATCGCTGAAGTGCTCGCCCGGGGTGCTAGAGCTACGAACTAGCAAAGCTGCGGGGCTGGTGACCGGAAAGGCCTTACTTCTAACCCCTCCGGTAGGTGCCAGCACACAGACGGGGCCTGGGAGGGGCTCGGTGTTAACCAGAGAGGTGGCAGGTCTGCCTTAGCTCCACCCCCAGGGGCTTCACTTTCTTTAGCTGAAAGTGGAAATTGGGGTTTGAGTTCCTTTTCTGATTCTTTTCACCAAGTTCCAAAATCAGGCCCCGATCCCTGAGGTTCTGGGGAGGGAGAGCTAAGCTTGTGGTGGGTTTCTACCCTAGCGCACTCGGGCTTCCGCAACAAAACCCCAGAGACCAGGTGCCTTAGAAACATTCTTCGCCAGCTCCGGAGGCTGGGAGTCTAAGATCGCAGCACCAGCAGATGCCGTGTCTGGTGATGGCCTTCTCGTCGCTGTGTCCTCCCGTGGCAGAAGGTGCGTGGAAGCTCTCTGGGGCCATCGTGAGCTTCCATCCGCGTGACCTAATCACCTGCCAAAGGCACCACCTCCTGACACCATCACTTGGGGGGCAGAATGTCAACGTATGAATGGGGGGAAGGGGGACACAAACCTCACTCCGTTGCAGTTTGTAAGGTGTCAGCTTGGGTGGGTAGAGCTCCCCGTAGGTTTGCTTTCGGGTGGGCCACAGGAGACCCTGCGTGCGGTCTGAGGCCAGAAAAGCAGCAGCCGCCCTACTGTTCACAGGCTCTGAGGCGGGGACAGAGGCCCGGGGCGCTGTCGTAACTCATGCCTCTTGTCACCGCTGGCTCGTTGGCGTGGGGCCTGCAACCGTCACTGTTCAGCTTCTCCAATACCTGGGACAGGAGGCTGTCTGGCTCCAGGACAGGGGGCCCCAGCTTCTCCTGGGGGACGCCCCCCGTCTCCACCATTGCGGGCAGACGGACATGGGCTCCAATCCACCTCACCGATTCCAGCTTGCCTTCGCTCTCCTGCTTCACCTCCGTCTTCCTTCCCGGACTGCCTGCCTGTGGACTTCGAGCTCCAGCATGAGGCATGAACATGACCACCTCGCTGGGACGGTTCAACCACTCAAACCGCGTAAGGCCAAGTCAAGGAGATAATACCTGACGTTGATTTCTGACAGTGGTTCTGCTTAATTGAACTCCGAGACCCGGAATGCTCTGGTCCCTCCCAGTAGCAGAGTTGGCAGTCCCCTCCTGCGCTGAGTAGGGCTGACTGTGGAAGCAGTTGGGTATTGTGGAAACAGGTGACTGCAGGGGGTGCGTGCTCTCGGTCGGATCATCTGCTCTGGGGGAGGCCAGCTGCCTCGCTGTGAGGGACACTCAAGAATCTCTGTGGGGAGAGGTCCTCATGGGGAGGAACCGCCTTGTGCCAACAGCCAGCAGCCTCAACATGGGCAGTGAGGGCGCCATCTTGGAAGTGGACCCACCAGCCCCAGTCAGGCCCAAGTCAGGCCCAAGAAAGTCCCCAAGTCAGAACCCCTGAGCTAAGCTGCATTGGAATTCCTGACCCACAGAACCTGTGTGACCTAAATGTGGGCCCAAGCCCCCCCAGGTCAGTGCTTTTCTGCCACAAAGAATGAGCTAGAAAGAAGACACACGGCGTTCTGCTGTGTGTAGTCAGCAGGCATTCCAGCTTGGAGAGGCAGAGGCAGCTGAGAGCTGACGGGCGGGGTAGGAGTTGGCATTCCAGACAAAAACTGGAAGGCGCGATGAAGAAAGCACGATCAGGTCCGAGAACCCAGCAGGAGCTAGCGGCGGGGCGGAGGGGCTGGCTAAGGAAGGCCAGGTCCTGCAGGTCCTTTTCGGCAGGCGAGTAGCCGAGTCTCACGCAAAGGGCAGTAGGGAGCCCTTGCAGGTTTTTAAGCAACTTAAATGCCTTGATTGGAACCCCCATGTCTGGCACTCTCCTCCCGGGTGATCTTGGGGCATAGGGACGGGTCCCGCGGCACGAGCCCGTTACAACTGCTCCACACACCATTACAGGGGCGGCTAATGTCGGCACCTTCAGGGCACAGCGACAGACCCCCAGTATAGTTTTCAATCATTTTTCTTGACCTGGAAAGGATTCACAATATTGTGTTAAGGGATGGTTATGTTTTTCTTCGCTCTCTCTCTCTCTCTCTACATACAGCACACAGAATTTTTTAATAAGGGGGGGAAAAAAAACCCTAAAAGGACATTTGCCAATATGTTTAACAAGGCCTAGGTAGTTGGGGTTTTTTAAATAGGTTTTATTTTATAGAGCATTTTAGGTTCACATCAAGAGGAGAGGAAGGTACGGAGGTTTTCCAAAGATCCTCCTCCCCACACACCAGCCTCCCCACTGCCACCAACCCTCTCCCGAGGGTACATTTGTTGGAGTCAGTGAGTCCATGGTTTGCATTAGGGTTCACTCGGGTGCATTCCATCGGTCTGGATGATCGTGTGATGACCCCCATAGGCCGTTCCAGCCTTCTATGGGACTGTTCCACTGCCCTAGAAATCATCTGTGCCCTGACTATTCCAGGGAGTAAATGCAAGTTTACTCTCTATTTGGTTGTTGTTGTTTTTTTTCATTTTTCCATTTGTTGTACAGTGAGTGTGAATTATTTTTGTAATAAAACTAATGGTATTTTAAAGGAAACACCAGTTCTTTCGGTCATTCTGTCTTACAAACGGCATTGCCCTGGAGCCTGCGAGAAAGGCTGTGTTCGCAAATCTTCCTCGTGCGAGTAAGCCACTTCCTCGCCGTGGGCTCCGGGGCGGTGGCCGCCCTGCGCAGGTGCTCAGCGGCCCCGGGGCTCCTGGGCTCCCCCATGGCCGGGGCCGCAGCCACCAGGCCTCCTGGCCTTCCCCCCGCCGCCCCGGACCCCCAGTGCGGGGGGCGCTGCAGGGGCTCGCGGCCTGAATGGCCAGAGGGGCAGCTGCGCAACAGGGGACACCAGCCGCCCTCCCCACCCAGGATCGCGCCGCCTGGGCGCCGCGCCTGGGACAATGGGGGGGTCCCCGCCGTGCCAGGTGCGCGCCGGCTGCCGGAATGCGACGGAACCCGCCACCGGCAGGGCGGCGCTCTCGGCCCGCTCCCAGCTCCCGGGGGCCCGCGGAGGGGACCTGCCTCGAGATGTCCCCCAGCTCCGCCCTGGCTCCGGGGGAGCGGTGGGGACAGTGACCAGCGCTGCCACCCTGCAGCCTCCACGCACGCAGAGCAAGAGGCAAAGAGCAGGGCAGAGCCGGAAGGAGCTCGCAGGTAGGGGAGCAGGTTTTCTTTCAGATACGCCCCCTGCG